CTTGTCAATATTAACTGTAGTTTTAGATTATAAGCTTTCTATAAAAGGTGAGAGCCAGTGTCTTATTTGTATCTGTATCTCCAGGGTCTAATTTAACATCCCTAGACATTTACTTCCAATTGGAAAATGGTTAAACCACATCTCAAAATGACAGGATCTTAACAGAACACTGACCGAAATCTATCTCAAAGTGACAGGATCTTAACAGAACACTGATTTAAATCTATCTACTGGTTACTGGTGAATCGAAAACTGCTAGACTTTGAAATGACAAAAGCAGCACACTCTGATCTTGGAATTTGAGATTTTTGGCAGATGTTCTAGAAGGAAGAATAGTGAGAAATTTTACCTGACCTCTCTTAACATGGGTCTGTTTCCATGACCCCGGCACAGGCAGCGTAACTGAAAGATGACTCCAGGGCAAGGGCAAAGAGAAGATTGAGGCACTTAAGCTTTGCGGACTGCTTCAAAAATTGCAATTGACTCCCGCACTGCAGCGTAATCATCAACCATTACCTGGTTAGTTTTGCCCTTTGTGGCGCCTGGTCCACGCTTGCACTGGGCTGGACCATTTCCTTACTCTGGTTTGTGTTTTACAGTTCACTTGTCCTTAGAAAATTTGACCACAGATCCCCTTACAAATTTCCTCATGGTAATACCTCTGCAGACCTGGCCTCAGCCCCTAGTCCACAGCTCTCCCACATTCTAACAGCTGGATGAGACACATTTTGGAGCTGGCAAAACCCATTTTTTTTAAGGTTACAGAAGAGAAAGAACTTACTTGCTACTGACCATAATCAGGAACTATGGGAAGAGATGCCCACTAGCTATTTCTTTTGAAGTCATTCTGAAGTTCATTTTCTTCACCTCTTAACATCACTTTTCCTTAAGGCAATGGTGGACCCCATCCTTTGGTCTTGAGGAACTGCCTTTAATCACTCACTTTATTCTGCCCAAGTTGATCAAACTCTTCCCACACACTTGTTTTCTCAGCCCTGAGGATGTACTTATGTGGAACCCAACCATCCACAGCATTTCACTCTTTCCCTTCTTGAAAAAAGTCTCTCAATCCCAGTTTGTCTTCCCATGTTGTCATTTTGTGGGTTAGTGTGCTATAGACTAGTTTCTCATTAAGATGTTTGCATTTAGAGTAAGACTTGTTCTTATCCTTACTTCCATGGCCTGGGCAATATAAAGCAGCCCCCACCTAAATCTATCCCACATCTTAGAATATTCTCAGCCACAAGGGAATGACATAAGCCATGACTATGCATGGCCCATTGCGAGGTCTGTGGCAAGGAACTGGCAACCAATAATACAGCGTCAATGCTTGCGATGATTTCCTCTATGAATTCAAATATACCCAAAGCTAGCCCTATGATACCACCATCACTCATAGGCATTCTGTGAGATTCTCTGAGAAGGAGGGCAAGGGGTGGGAGCACAGGAGTTATGACTGGATGGGCCATAGCCCTTGTCAAACCACAGCTATTGATCCTCTAAATGGTTATGATGATTACATGATGGTTGTGATTTAATCTGGGTATATCCATAGGACCAGATATATGAACTGAGGCTAGAAAAGGTTCACAGCCACTGGCCCAAATCATTGAAAAGTGCCAAATGCGTATTTCTTTGGGTAGAAAGGAGGCTAGGATTTTATATAATACCAAGTACAGTGGAAAACTGTTACCTAATATATTGGACAGACAGTATTTTTAGAAATGGAGTCTTGTTCTTTTGCCCAGGCTGGAGTGCAGTGACATGACCATAGCTCAGTGCAGCCTCAAACTCCTGGGCTCAAGCAATCCTTCAACCTCAGCATCCTAAGTAGCTGAGACTATAGGTATACACCACCACACCCTGCTAGTTTTTCTATTTTTTGTAGAGAGAGGGTCTCGCTGTGTTACACAGGCTGGTCTTGAATTCCTGGACCCAAGTAATCCTCCAGTCTCCCAAATTGCCAGGATTACGGGCGTAAGCCACCACACCCAGCCTAGATAATACATTCTAGATTGCAAATTTATTCAGGCCAGTGCATAATGTATTATCTGGACACTATGTATTTAATACATGCTTTATTTCCTTATATTAAGTTGTGATAATATAGCTAAAGAAGTTTCATAAACCGCTTGAATCTAAACAAAATGCTTCGGTGAGGAAAATGTTTGACTGGTTGATTCTGCCAAACCAGTCCTGGTGATTAACCTGGGATACACGTCACAGCTGGATTGCTCTCATATCCAAAATGTGTTCTAAGAAAGTAGCGTCTTAGCCATCAGAACTTTTATTTTTGATACAGGGTCTCACTCTGTCACCCAGTCTGGAGTGCAGTGGCATCATCATAGTTCACTGCAACCTCAAACTCCTGGGTTCAAGAGATCCTCCTGCCTCAGTCTCAGAAGTAGGTGGGACTACAGGCATGCGCAACTACACCCAGCTGATTTTTCTATTTTTTTTTTTTTTGTAGAAACGGGGTCTTCACTCTTGTTCAGGCTGGTCTCAAACTCCTGACCTCAAGCGATCCTCTCACTGCAGCCTCCCAAGAGTGCTAGGATTATAGGCGTGAGCCACTGCACCCAACCAGAACTTTAATTTTTTATGCCATGTTATCATGCTAAATAATACCCTATCTTTTGCAGGCGTAAGCCTTTGAAGCAGATGACTCAATGCAAACAGACAACTCCAAATTTGTAGTTATCTTGAGTAAACCATCTTTAAGACCACTTTCTTTTACTAATAAAGAAGGAAAATTATTGTAAAGACTGGAGCATCAACTACATAGCAGAACAAAAAGAAAAATCCCTCATCACATTTACATTGCATTTCTTTGGCATTAATATCTTTGGCTGAGCTGAGATTATATAAAACACACTGAACTTTGGTTTGATGAAATAAAAAGGAAGGCAATTTGGGTTATCATTATAAAATGCTGTTACTAAGCAATGAACACTTTTGTAAAAAAATTTATTTCACACTTTTATACAAATATCCACAGGTATTTTCTGATCATGAAATAATTTTACAATGCTAGTTAGTATAAAAATGTATCAAATGCAAACAGACCAGTGACTAGACTTGAGATGACATTTTAAACAAGTTTAAACACCATAACATTCTTATTTCTTTGTTGTTGAACACCCCCCCCCAGTCCCACCCCTTTTCAGGGCATTTATTCTTATAACAAAGGTCTATAAACACTGTCAAAATACCAGCTCCTTACCAACTTAAAAGCCAGAGCATTAGGCTCCAAGTTACCCAAGCAAGAAACTGAGACTTTAAACACTGTTATAACCTGTTACAGAGAAATTTTTGTAAACAAAGTATGATTTGCAAAGCTGTTTTTATGAATAAAAATGCCAAGTACAACCAAAATAATGTCCTTAGTATCTTAGGGATATAAGATTTCTGAAAAGGAAAAAAAAACCCTCCTAAGCAACAATGGCACGTATAATTGTATTTTGTTCCTTTAAAAGACTCAGACACTGCTTGTACTATAGCCAACAAATTAGCACCTATTTGCTGTTGCTCCCCATATAACTTAACATTTTGAAGCACAGTAACTAAAAAAAATTTAGCTCTCATACCTATTCAATCTCTATTGAACGTATAGAATAATATTTCTTCCACCCCCCTGCCATTTTTACAATTTTAAAAAATTTAAAGTACTTGTTAAATTAGTCCCAAAGTAATTTTGGGAATATAGGTAGGGGAGGAAATGAAACAAAACACAGAACATTGACTCATTGATTAAATGCTTCCTATAACATTTAAAAACTTAAAAGCCATGATGTTCTAGCTGACTAGAATCACTGTTTTGGTAGCAGATATTCATTCAGTAGTCTTATACTGGATCGGATCGGATCCGCCATAGGCACCCACCATTTCTTTCAAGTCCTGAATACACAGTATTTGCAGCAGTGAGTAAACTGCTTCAATGAACAAAGCCATTTGCTCCCAAAAGTTCCTGAAAGTTATAACATGAAATTCAGAAATATCACACAGGGCTCTAAACTAAAAAATATCTGATGCCCAATAAACATTAAACATCTTACAGTTACTCATATTTCTTAAACCTTTTGGGTTGTTGGGGGGTGGGGAGGGTGTGTCATGAAGGAGATATTATAATTTACAAATATTTAAGTTATTAAAACAACTCTCTGGTCCATTTATATAGAATTATTCTCTTTTTGCAGTAAATGATTTAGGTCAAACCAATGACCTCCCAGGGTCTAATTCTGATTGCTTAAACCAACCTGAAGGGTAAACTAGAGAATCTTTGGTCTGTTAGTCAATAACAAAATGGCTTGTAAAAAAAAAAAAAAAAAAAAAAAAAAAAAAAAAAAAAAAAAAAAAAGAAAGAAAGAAAGAAAAAAAATAAATACCATATACAAATAAGTATAACTAGCATTCAAGTCTGTGGGCCTGTGTGTTTTAGTAAAGGGGAGAATGAAACCTGGATGCATTTGGCGTGAGCAAGTATTCACACATCTAGGAAACGGAGAAAGATGGCAGGATGGCAACATCACCTTCTATTGCACATTTAATTTAAGACAGCACTACCCTGGTGGCATAGTCTTGTGATGTGAGACAGTTAGCTCGAAGGATGTTTGCAGCGGCAGTGCTGAGGTTAGGACAGCCACTCTGTTAGTGCAGGTGATCTGAGGTGCCTTCCTCCAGCTATGCTATCAGGAGGATGTTGCCCGAGTGCAGCTGGGCACCTGTAAGTCAGCCACACCAAGAACAAAGGCAACCCTGAAAGTTAAATTAAGGCAGTTAAAGAAAAATCCATTCCAACAGTTTTAAATTTGGCTGTGCAAAACAGGAGCCTTAGGCTACGTAACAATATCCACAGTTAAAACTGTAGGTTCATAAAGTGTGTGGTCACTCTGAAATCAATCCTCGGGTATTGAACAGGCTTTTAAATCCACTTGAATTTCTGAATTAGAAAAAAAAAAAAAAGCAGTTTGGGTACTGTGAAGCTTTTTTTTTTTTTTTTTGGCCTCCCTATGAGTAGCTTTCATTTTCATTCCACTTTGTGATCCACTGTTTTTTTTCAAGGTTATCATTATATTTTTCATCTTTGATCTCTCGCTCTTCTTTCCGGATCCTTACGGCATGGTATCGGGGAACGCTATCATCGTACCTAGAGCGTTTAAAGAATCCACACTGGAGAAGGGGAAAGAGAAACAGAAACAAGTGAATTAATTTCAAGAACAGCAAGTACACTAAATGGGAATGTCTAAGCTTTCTGTTCAGCTATGTCTACCTTTGGACTAAGGGAAAAAAGACAGTTTTCTTTTAAGAAAGAACAGGTTGAAAAGAAGTAATAGCCAGTGGGGATCAATGGAAGAGAAGAACAGCTGTAAAACTGGAAGAAAAGTCCATTTCATCTTGTCTTAACATTTTATAACAATGTAAGCTACCCCTTTACTAACAATTTAAGAGTTTATGAAACCATGCTTCCATTTTTAAAAATAATCACAATATTATATGTAAAAGGTCTAAGTTCCAGATTATTAGATCATTTTAAGAATTTTTTTAAAGGTATAAACCAAAGACTATTTCATGCCCCTCTCCTACTAATAAAATAGAAATCAGGTCACAGATATTTTGCAAATTGCTGCTTGAATATGCTGGTGTTCCAATGGATCAATTTAAGAATCTTCTCTCCTCTGAGGCTCCAGTACATACATAATCTCTCTCATTAGCTAGAAGGTAATTTATGTTGCCTGGATCTGCCAGTTGTGTTTCCAATTAAGCTGTTTCATTAATAAACCACATAGTAACTGTGTCCTACAATAAAATCAATCATGTAACATACAGGACTTGAGGAAAGCACCACTACACTGAATTTCAGAGCACTCCCTAATTTCTCTTTTTTTGAAAAAAAGAAAGAATATTTACATTTAAATTGTTAATGAATATATTTTATTCATTTAAAAATATTCAATCTGATCCAAAGTATATTTTTATTGAGAATATATCTGAAAATTTTAAAGTCAGATTAAATTTTTAAATGAGTAAACTACCTACTTTTTTTTTTTTTAAAAAAGGTATGTTTTCAACTTAAAAATGGAGCTTAGAAGGATGAGGAAGATGCTTAGAATGGTTGATTAATGTGTTTATTATGTGACATCAATAGGAACATAACATCTAGATCGAATGATGCTATATTATAAAAATGCCATGAAGCAAGATAAAATTATGTACATAGTTACCACTAAATCAACAGGCAAAATGGACCAAGAAGTTTTGTTCCAGACCATTTCTATATGGACTCATTTATTATTCTGTGCAAAAAGGCCAAAGTACCTATCTATTACAAAATATGATTGCTGGTTGCCCCGGGTGAAGAAGGAAAGAAGGAAATGACAGGTGATGTAAGTAAAGTGGCAATGTTGGGATTCATCAGTGCCATGGAAAGGGATTATAGCCGTAATTCTGTCCTCTTATGTCCATGTAAATGGAAAAGGGAATTACCAGTAATTCCCGTTTCCATGGATTTACAAATAAGAACAGCAAAACATGAATTTAAAAATAAACTTAGAGCCAAGGTTGAATAAAATCTCTAGAAACATGAAACATGGTCAAACTCCATTACAACATTAAAATAAAAACCATCCAGGGCATTTTTTGTACTAGAATTTTGTATATTGAAGGTTACTTTGGTAGATGATCATCTTTTGAAGTTGGCCATAAAGCCCATTATGCTGATAATCATAGTTTGTTGTAATGGTCTTTGACCTTAGGAAATATGCAGGAAATGGAAGTTGCATGCTTAGCTAGCATAAAACGATTTCTGAGCAAGAGTAAAAAGCATTCCAAGCCTTTCCCATCACTTTATAGCAAGGAGGACAAAAAGATGACAGTGAGGAAGCCCCCTCCCTCATCAAGAGAAACACAATGTTTCCAGCATGCAACAGGTTAATTAGGCAGTCAACACAAGCTTCAATCTGTGGGAAATTCCAAAATGAACAAGAAATCTGGAATGATTTCTTATGCATCTTTGAACTTCTGAGTGGGATGCTACATACTGTATTAAACAACACATGGCAAACAGGGCTACTAAGGAGGTGCGAAGCCTCCTTTTGTGTGTACAAAGATTGCGATTTCCTTCATTGCTGTGGGTGATGTTTAAAAATAAGGATACAACGTAACTCACCTGCAACAAAAGACTCTTTGTGCATTTTTTTTTTTTTAAATAAACCATGAGCTTTCAAGTGAAATAAATAAAATAAATCCAAGCAAGGCAAGCCAGTGTGGACATTTGGAAACATCTGTTAATGGGACACACACACAGCAAGCTGTTGCTTTTAAAGTTAGCCACCACAACCATAGCAGGTCCCACAGCTAGCAATTAAAAAACATTGATCAATTACCAATTACAGAAGTAGATCAATACTATGCATCAGAAGTAAGCCTTTCTTTATCAGATGGCTGAGCATGGATCTCAGCCTTGTGATATGTGGCATCATAATGATCTTTCTTATTTCTCTTGAAGAAACCACACTACAAGGAAGCAAGGTATTTAGTCAATTTTACAGTTTTGTGTAGAAGAGCTAAACAAAAGAATATCTCAGATTTTAACCTGTTTTCTATTGACGGCTCATTTACAAAGAGACTACTTCCAATCAACCAAAAGTGAACAGCCACTGCGCTGTGTTTCACTGTGACATTCAGCACATTCCATCACCATGTGTCTGTGGTCAAGTATTTATATGGACGACACTAGTCAGCTAATTGACTTTTCTATTTGTAACAGACATCCTAAGGACAAAAATCATCATAAAAGGGAAAATGTATACACATCTGATTGTAGCTTTGGGGAGTTTCTTCTTGCAGGAAAATACGGACTACAAAAGAGGCAAAGATTGACTTCTGCAGTTTATTGAGACAAAGGTTAGAAAATTCTCTAAGTTAGCATAAATCCAAATAAAATACAGATATACTGTGGGTATTTTTCTGCCTTTTACAGTAAATTTTATAGAACAAATACCATCTACTTAAGGCCTTTGGATCTCTGGGGTGAATCATAATATAAATTCGAATACACCATCATGAAAGAATGATTGCTGTTATTTTCCCAAATTCTGACCCACCATATAACCCTTAAGTGGTAGGTACCCATGCTCCTCAGGTTAGGTCACTCTAAATGAGTATAAGAGTATAATTCCACTTTCTACTATAATTTCCTGCCTTCAATGATAGAGAACCTTTTTTTATTTACTATTATCTAGTTCATAAGGCCATGGAACTGCCTTTTGAAATATAACTTGGTCAAATCTCTCCTGGAAAATTCTGCTTACTAGTTTGGCAACTCATGAAGGCAAAAATCTAGATCTGCTTTGTACAATATGATAGCTACTAGCTTAGTTATGTGAAGCTATTCAAATTTAAATTAATTTAAATCAACTAAAATTCAATGCCTCAGTTCCACTAGCCATATTCCAAGTGTTCAGTAGCTACACGTGACTAATGGCTACCATATTGAACAGTGCAGAATGTTTCCATCATTACAGAAAATTTTATTGGGCAGCATACACTGTGACTCCTAATGTAATTTAATGCACAGTGAACATATTTGGCCAATTTTCAATAATACAAGCTAGTAAATAGGGTGGGAAGAATAATGAACCAGCCTAGAGGACTTTTTTTTTTTTTTTTTTTTTTTTTTTACCTCCAAACAAAATCCTGGGCAGAATCCTGATATTTAAAATAGATAAAATCAGAATTGCTCTGGCTGAAGTGGGGAAACACATCTACCTAGTTTAGTTTTGCCACCTGCATGGATGTATAAAACCCAATTTAAAGGCCACTGAACTAGAATCCTTTTTGATCCTAAAATCCTATGATTTTAAACATAAAAACAATCCAGTTTTAAGAAAGAAGAGTACAAAATAATAAAAATGATTTTCATGTGGGGTTATATAAGTTATCTGATTATTTTAGAGTCCCCTTCAGAGTCTGGATACTTTTTTTTTAAAAAAAAAGAAAAAAGAAAAAAAGCTCTAAAGAAGGCTGGGTACTCATGCCTGTAATCCCAGCATTCTGGGAGGCTGAGGCAAGAGGACTGTTCAAGGTCAGGAGCTTAAGACCAGCCTATGCAACATAGGAGACCACGTATCTACAAAAAATAGAAAAATTAGCCAGGTGTGGTGGTGCACACCTGTAGTTCAGCACTTGGGAGGTTGAGGCAGGAGGTTGGAGTGAGCTATGACGACACCACTGCATTCTAGTCCAGGTGACAGAGTGAGACCCTGTCTCAAAATAAAAACAAAAACCCACAAACCAACCAACCAATGAAATCATCTAGTACAATCCAGATGAGGCAAACCAGAGCCCGAGAAAGGTGGAATGGTTTGCCCAAGATTATATACTGCTTGGGTTTCTTAATTCTCAACCTACTGCTACATCTCACCCTCATCAAAGACTGCCAATAAGACCCTGCTCTAAAAAAGACCTTGTGACCTCTTCCAGAAAATGCATCATTCTCAAATAATCAATCCCAAATTTAGTTTTTCATATCAGAATAATTTCAGGACATCTCCTATATTGGCTTGCTGTGCTGGCCAGAGGAACCTACTGCCTGAACATCAGAGGTAAAACTAGCTAAAACCCCAGGCCTCAGTGAGTCTGGATACGAGCAGATACTAAGCTTCAATCACACATTTGGAGGACGTCAGAAAATTATCTCAGATTAGCAAAAGAAAGCTAGTTGGAAAAATAAAATAAAAAAGAGATGCCCAATTTGAATGTGAGAATATCCTGAACCCTTGTCTATTATACTCTTGGAGCCAAAGAAAGAAAACGGATAGTTTGATGCTAGGGGGTTACTGGTTCATCCAAAACCCTATGGACCAGACGTTTTTGGGAATCCAGAATTTCTGACATTTTAGAAAGGTAATATGCTGCATATATAATGTCATTCTAATCAAAATGTTAGTATTTCTGCAGTGAAACTATTAAAGGATAAAGACTATACACAGCCTCTCTTGTCAGGTTTTACTTCCAAATAAATAACTGTCATTACAAACTTTCAGTTTTCAGAGTTTTTTGGAATGTGGAATTGCAGGTAAGGGACCGTAGACCTCCATTACTCACTGGGAACAATCCAAAATCTATAGGTTATAATCTTTGGTGACAAAAGTTTGTATCCACCTCATATACACTTTTCATAATGCAGACTATTCACTGGTAGGACACAGGGAGAAGATACATTTTATGTGCAGCCAAAGGACCAAATTGCAATGAAGAACATCCTACTGAGCTATGAGGGCTCCTTGAGATATTCACTCATCTCATGCTTTTCATTCCTAATCTAGCTGCAAGTGGAACAAACACAAATGGCTGCCATGAACAGTTCTTTACAGAAATTGAAATTAGCAGGGCTACAGATTCAGATTAATCTGACATCTAACAATTTGGCTTAGATCCAGACTGTAATCTTAGATGAAGAAATGTTAAAGCAGTAAAATTTAAATCTATTTGCCAAACATGCTAAATTATATGTGAGACACTAAAATTTATTCATTTAAGAAACTTATGATATACAAATAATATACCTTTAAATACAAACTATTAGGTAGATAGACCAGTGTTCACTGTAAAATTCTCTCAAATTTTCTGTGTCAGAAAAGTTTCATAATAAAATGTTGGGGAAAAGTAAGTGATGAAAAAGAAAACATACTATCAGTGTTAATTCACATTTTTTAAAAAAACAAAGTTTACATCATGAAACTCAAATGCCAGATAGGACTTACCTTCCATAGTAAAAACACTAATAGAGCAAGCATCAAAATCCCAGCAAGAATAGCCACTAGGATGATCCACCAAGGTATTCCTGAATATTGAGCTACAGTCTTTGAGGGAAACACAGTCACACGAACCTACAGAGCATAAAAGAAAGCAGCATCACTATGTAATAAGGCAAGAGTTAACAAGAAGAGTTTTTAGTTCTAATTCTACTCCTGAACACATCTTGGACAATGCAGCCCGTTGACAGATGAGATGACTTTCTGAAGCAAGATCCCTTCCTTTAATAATGGAATATTGCTTCGAGATGCATTCCTTGAAGAGGAATCTTCACAGAATCTTGAAAATGCTGGGTTGTGTCCTAACAAAGTGGTTATTTCTTTGCTAACTTATCTTTTAAAATTTTTTTGTTATCAACAAAAGTAGATAAAACTATATAATGAACCCTCATGTATGCACCACCCTGTTTCAACAATTACCAATACACAGCCAATCTTGTTGCATCTATAGAACCCGGTATCTTTTGCAGAATGATCACACTTTCTTTTAATTAATTTTAAGCAACAGGAAGAAAAGGCCCAGCTTATGCACAATTAGCCTACCTTCCTCACTCAGACTTTAAAGATGTTATAAAATATAAAAATATACCTTCCTCACTCAGACTTTCAAGATGTTGTAAAATACAAAAATAGGGATGGAGCTGTGTGACTGATAGATACCATTTTAATTTTTTCTTAGGATATCAAACTAAAGACCCTCATACACAATAAAATTTCTTGAAATGGCTTGGTGCAAATCTTCTACAAAAATATGTATGGACAAACTAGACCCTGGATTCATTCAGAGGCAGCTTAGAGCTGAAGCTGCTGCTGTTGAGAAGCTTAAATTCGAAACATTTGATAGTTTGCGAATTCTAATTAAAATAGTGTTTACTCCAAAACTGAAAAAGTTGCTTTTGGCAACTCACGACAACCCAGTTATATGGGTTTAGGATTCAAGTGGGCTTTTGTGATGCCAGGAACTATTTTTCAAAGTTAAAGACCTACCGATTGCTATGGACAAGATTTTGTAAACTACACTGATTCTACTGGTTTGAAGTTTTTGATATTTCTGAATTAAGATAATGTAAAGAGTAAACAAAACTCAGAAGGAGCATTTAACGCCTAAGAAACATTTTTAGTCAAGTATTCTATATTAGTATTGAACCACGGATGCTGCTTAAAAATGTTTCTACAGCCTGAGTGAGCAACACAGCAAGACCCCATCTCTACAAAAATCAGCAAAGTTAGCTGGGCATGGGGGCACATGCCCATATCCCCAGCTTCTCAGGAGACTGAGCCAGGAGGACTGCTTGAGCCCAGGAGGTTGAGGTTGCAGTGAGCTATGATGACGCCACTGCACTCTAGCCCCAGCAACAGAGTGAAAACCCGTCTCAAAAAAAAAAAAAAAAAAAATTAAAAAATGCTTCTATGTCTACACTGTGCTCCATCCGATACTTCTACCCTATAATTCTTTTCTAAAAATCTCTTCATTAAAGTACTTCCCTTCCCACTTCTACTAGAAAACAGCTTATCAACCTCATTTGACTTACAGAAAATACTTAAAAGCAGCAAGAGTGCTTTTCTTTAAACACTATTCAGGAGTTTTCAGCCAAGCATACTAACAGGCAGGCATAACACACCTTAACCAGCCACCAGGTTTCCTGTTATGCTCTGAGGTTTCCCCAGGCTCACTTCCCTGCTCCACCGCCCTCACAGGTGTCCCAGCTTTCAGCTAAAACAACCCTTTGAGATTACTGAGCCCAGCTGCACAGGGGCATCCACAAAGGAGGGAAGCAGCAGAGACAGACCAGTGAAGAAATGATACAATTCTGTGACTGGTAAGCTGACTACAACACAAACAAAACGACGATTCAATTAGTCTATGCTGTATCTCATCCAGCTTTGCTTCCCTATTATCTAGCATAGGGAAGGCACAGCGTGCCCTTGGGGCAAGGTGGCCATGTGGAAGGGCCATCTTCATCTGTAAGAATAAGTTCTGTTGAGTCTGAAAGTGGAGACTGGCCTATGGCAAGGGGAACCAGCCTCGTTCTAATCACACCGTGTGTCAGTGCCGCTGGAACCGCACCCATAAATGGCACAACCAACTGCATAAGGGGTGAACAAGGGGATTTTTGATTTTGCAGGGGGAGGGGTGGGTAGAAGGATGGGAATCCACCTGAAGCTCTAAGCCCCCAGTCTGGCCAACATTGAAACCAGGACTTGGAGCCTTTTGGATATTATGAAATAACTCACTGAAGTTAGGGGCTGGGCTGGCTGCACATTTAAAGGGCAGATGTGCTCTGTAGTCCCAGAAGGTGAGAGGCCAGTGAACAAGATGTTATTGGTTGTTTGCTTTAATTGTCAACTGAAGTTTTTTTTCCTTTTGGTATGACAGTCATTCTCCAGCTGGGACTGGGAACAGGGGCGGATGGCCACAGAATCAGGTCGGTGGGGGAAAGTGGGGGGATCAACTGCGGTTCCCAGAGCTCTGAGAAGCCTTATCTCACCTTGTCATAGCAGCTGTTACTGATGAACAACAATGGCTTACGGTGAACAGAAACTACTGTAGAGCTTTACAACTCCACAACAATTTCTTTCTTTTGGTTTCATTAAAATTTAGGCATTTCCATGGGGATGACCTATGCATGTGAACCTCATCCACCCCGTGCCAGGAAGGGGAAAGGGGCTTCAGCTCTGCTGACGCATTAAATGTGATTACCAGTAGCAGTGCTTAGACCACATGAGCGTGACAACTGCCAACACACTTTCTCTAAGTTACTCTGTAATGTAACAGCCACTGCTCTTACTGAACATCGGTAGAGGAAATCACTCGATGAGGGGGTTTTCATATCTTTTACAAAACTATCTATTGAGGACAGGATCCCTCTTAGTGAGTGTTCCTCATATAAGGAATCACCTTATAAAAGGATCCATCTCTCAAGTTCTCAATTTATCAGAGCCAAAGAAGAAAATCTCCTTCCCCTGAAGAATTAGGTGCTTTTTACCTGTCCTATTTTCTTTTACCTTTTGTAGCCAGGAAGCTTGGATACTCTCTACTTGCTTCCTTAGGAATAAAGTGGGGATATATAAATACAACCAATAAACAATTCCTCCTTCCTTGGCTTAATTCAACAGTTCTTTCCTGGTTCTGTCTCCTAGACCTGAAGTTCTTAACAACTGACACCGTATCTTATTCAAATTTTCTTCTCTAGCATCTAGCCCAGGGAGGCACACATGTGTCCTTAATAAGTGCTTGATAACTGCATGGATTTAATTTAATTGATGCTAAAATGTAATCATCTCAGCTGGATCAATTATATGACTTCTGCTTTCTCTGACTTTGTTATAACAGTGTTTTAATTTAAAAGTGTTTGAGAGGAAAACACAGAATTCCGAAATTGGTTGGGTTATAAAGAAACAAAATGTTTTTTCTTTCTTAGTTTTTTTCTTTTAAAGCCAGGATTAGAGTAAAGGTAACAAGAGGTTCTTTTGACATTAAGATCAAAAGACAAGACAACCTCTTTCGTCTCTATCTCCAAAGAAAATGATCTTCAGACTGGAAACGACAGATGAAACCAAGAAAAGGTGAAACTGTAACCCACAATAAGTAAGGGGAAGGCATCTTGACACCTGCATTAAGCTCAAATCTTCAGGGCCGGAAAAGCTGTACCTTAAAATACTAAAGAAAGTATAGACATAATATCTCAGTTATTGTATTTCAGAAATCACAGAAAATAGAAGAGGTATCAGTATTAGAAGACTAGAGGTAAGAAATAGGTTCTAGATATAAGAGACCAGTAATCCATTCACAAATCTACCAATTATGAAACAAAGCAGGACCACAGCAAAGACTCCAATTCTCATTAGGAGGCATGAACTCTCCAAGTCCTGAGAACATAAAATGCCTAAGAGAACTTCATTTTCACTTGCGACTCAGCCACTAGACTGGATCCCAGGGTCCCCAGTTCTACCATCTTCCAGAGGAAGAGAGCTTGAAGAGGAGTCCCAAGGCCTGGTCTCTGTTCCACGTGCTGGTCGCATGACCCTGAGGGGAGACAACCTTCTTTGGACTCTCATCTCACTTTGAGCTGTGGGGACCAAGTATCACAAAGTCAAAGGCAGGAGTCCTGGAGTCAAATATGGGTTTCAGGCCAGGACCCCAAATTACATCTCCTCTGGGAGTCTGCTTATTTGTAAAATGGGTACAATGTCTACCTCAGCATTCTTCCCAAGTTTAAATGATAGAGTATAAAGAATCTAGTAAATTGTGGACATTAATTAATGTTAGTGCCTTCCCTGTAAAGTGTTCTCTTTCCAGTTCTAAAACAGTGATTCTCAGAGTTGCCGATTTACAGTTACAGAAAGTTACAGCCGCCGCCTTCAGTCACAGATGCAGAGAAAGGATTCTCAGGGAAGGTGTGATTTACTTAAAAGTCCCTTACAATGCCTTATTGATAAGATGTAGAAAGGTGGGCTGGAGTAACCTGCAAAGATAACATAAAGGCAGGGAGACCATATGTCCTGGTGAGCCTGGGACAGTCCTGGTTGACACCACTTGTCCCAGCATCCGGCCCAGTTTAGATTTATCCCGAATGTATTCTGTCTTAGATGACAAATTATAAGGACACCCTAAGGACTGCTATATTTCAGAAACCAGAATGATCAGGGAGGCTTACTAAAATTTTCGGCTAAACAACTGAAGCCAGAACATTTCCATAAGTAGACTGGCAGATTAACATGGGAGCAGGAATTCACAATATTTCTTTCTCTAGTCTCTTTTGCAAAACCTTCTCATTCATGATCCCCACCATGACATGCAGTCATTCTGCCTGAAGATCCTGATAAAGGTCCCTGTGGGTTCTAGACCCCACCCCCCAAGGAATCTGTCACTGGTGATTCAACACAAGGTTCTGCGCCTAGTCCTGTTCAGTGTTTTTGTTCATTACCTGGATGAAGACACAGAAGGCATGCTTCTCAGTTTTAAAAAAAGATAAAGCTTGCAGGAATAGAAAGTTAACAGAGCAAATGATCAAGATTCAAAATTACTTTACAAACTGAAACAATTGGCCCAAAGCAAATCACATAAAATGTGAGAATACATTTAATGTCATGCTTTTAGATTTTTTTAAAATTGCTCAAGGACAGGATACTGGAAGCACAGCTTGACAACAAATTCTGATGAAAACATCTGAAAGTTTCAGTAGAATACTAACACAAAAATAGCTGCTGCTAAAAATTCAAACACAATCCTCAGCAAAAGTTTAAAAAACAAATTTTAGGCTGGACTGACAGGAGTGTGGGTGCCGAGATACTGGGAGGTATAGGCCCCGGGGTGAGCGGGACTGAGCAGACCATGTCTCGGCTAATCTGCCCAGCTGGGAGTCACACTGCCCCACAGGGGCAGGCCGAGGAAGGGAGAGGCCAGGACCAGTTCAGCTGCGCCCCACATGCCGGATAACTAAAGAGCTGGGTACATGGCTCTGAAGAGAATAAGAGACATATCCTAGGAGGAATGACCGTTTCCTTTAACCATCTGAAAACCTGCTACATGGCCAAGAGAGGGCACTTATTTTAGACTTGTTCCAGTGGGGCATAACCATAGACTTATTTTACCAGATTCAATTTAGGATTCATATATAAAGAGATCTTTTCTAATAATTGCAACTGGCCACCTGTGGCATATGCATTCCATCGCTGGGATATTCCAATGATGGCTGCAGCCTCAGGGACAGCGTAAGGGTCTCTGTAGGGCTGCAAGGTGCACCCATTCCTTCACGGAGCCAACAGCTCTCCAATCTACATGGCCATTGCTAAACCAGATAATCCCAGATTTACTTCTTTTTTTCAACGATTCTATTAAAAATACAGCATCAGGTGGCAGCACATCAAGACACTATCTGTCTTTTCTTTGATGGGAGTAATAGGAATATAAGGGAAATAAGCACCAAAGAGCATGACCTCAGGCCCAGGGCGTAGGGCAGAGGGAAAGGGGACTCGCTCTGAACCTGAATGAAGCTGGGGCACCTCTCACCTGAGTTCCCGCATTTGGCAGCTTGATGTTTTCTGCAGCGGCGGTCACATCAATGGAAGCGCGCACAAGAATGTCCAAGTAGTTCAGTTTGGAATACTCCTGTTTGGAGACAGTGAATGCATTAGAGAAGTGAGAAATGTCCTAGGCAGTGGCAAATGACTTCCGGGGGACAGTCTCACAGCGCCACACCTCTAGAAACGTGCTGTTCCATAACCTGGAGCGCAAAACCAGAGAGGCCTTGCTGTCCAGCCCTCGCAGCGGGCACCTGATGTTCACGCAGTTCACGTTCACGCTGCAGTTCTAGGGAGAAAAGGAAGACCAGTCATCAAGAGACGTCATTCTGGGCAAGTCTTTCCCCTCATCCTCCGTCAAATATTCACAGCTCTTGAAAAATACTTACAAGGGTCTGGTATTTTCTTTCAGCAAATAAAGAAAATTTTCTGTTATCATCTATCTGTTTTTCAGCAATTTCCCGTTTCCTTCTTGAGTTGTGAGATTCCTGAAAAGAATTATATCCAAAATAGTTCCACAATATGTGATTCTTTATTACTGCCATATGAGCCTCTTGAGCATGCCCTCTCAAATAATGCTAAGTTCAGATAATAAACAATTAATATTCACCCCTCTCCTGCCTCCAAAGATACAGAAGTAAGTGTAAAACCAGCAAGTGGTATTACCATTCTAACTTCAAGTTTATCGATTTATTCACAGGGCTAGATTGAATTTATTCCTACTCTGACCTTCAAACTCAGAGAAAGAAAAAGATGCTTTCTTGTCCACACCAAACTGTAAACATATTGCGATCAGGGGTCAAATCACATTCCTGTAACCCTGGCACCCGACTCTGTACCCGACACATGGTAGACAGCACATCGTGAATGAATAATGGACACAGAAGAACAGAGAAAGAAGCAAAAAGACCCATTATATGACTAATTCAGAGTAAAACACTGAAAAGTAAGCCATAAGAACTATTAAATTGTATTTTCCTTATAGCAAAGATTAGGAATAATGGACCATCTTGGTGTTTTTTGGGGGAGGGGCATTCATCTCTGAGGACCATTTTTGGGGGGCTGATCGTCTTGTTTTTTAAAGTTGACGAGTAGAGGATCATGCTAATAAGCCACCAACTACAAACGCTGATCATACTCAGTTACCTTAAAATTCAAAAGAAACAGATATGCCATGACAAAGCAAAATTTCATCACACTGGCACATAAATAAGCCAGTTACATAAGTGTGGAGCAGGACAGGGAGGGGTGAAGATTGCAGGCTTTGGAATCAGGCAGAATGGAGCTTGAATGCAGAATCTGTCTCTTAACAGCTGAGTGATTCTGAGAAAGTTACTTAATCTCTCTGAATCTCAATGACTTCTGTGAAAGGGCAGAGATAATCAAAATACCGCACAGGACTAACGAGAATGAAGTGAGAAAACGCAAACAAAATGCTTCGCATAGGGCCTGAGACACAAGTCCTCAATAAATACTTACTATTTAAAAAATAAGAATGGAAAAATTTCAAGGTCATTTGCTAAGATGCCATTATCTTTTGCAATGAGTTTGGTTCTCTACTTGGAGTTAACACTGGCTGGCCCAACCCCAGGAACAAGTCTCAGTCCTTTTTATTTTATATATCTCATATTGGGTCATAAAACTTCAGAAAATGTCAGTTGCCTCAGCAGGCACTGAATGACTGCCTCATGTGCTCTAACAGTCACTAAGCAGCAAAAATGCCTTGGCCTGACTGGGTGACTCAACTGTGAGAGAGACATTGTAACAACCAAAGAAAAAGTCAACCTGCCAGTTTCCTAAGGATAGTATCATATTCTCCTGAGAAGTTAGCTTCTCTTATTTATATCTACAGAGACACTAGGTAAACCCACCAACATACCTTTAGCTTCAGGAAGTTTATTTCACTTTGTGGCTCACAAGTTATCTTTTCCAATCCTCTGGATTCTACTTTCACCAAATAAAGCAACCATTTGCCATTGCTAATTTCTTTTGGCCACTGAATATTCAAAGTTGCTGTGCCAAGGTTTTTAAGAGGTTTACCTAAGTTAATTACCTGTTAGAAAATAATACAAGAGAAAAAAGGTAAAATATATCCAGCATAATCCTACAATAAAAGCACAGGTTTCCAAAAATAGACTATAGATAGGATAATCAAAATAGAAATTTGTACTTAAATATTCTTGTCAATAAAAACAGGAAAAAAAAAAGGTCAAAGATAAATGATTCTAATTCAGTCTAGGAACAAATGCTGTGGGTAATGAAATCAGCAGTGTAGATATACTATGTTCTCACCATGCCCAGGGAAAGGCCACATGTGCATTTGTGAATTGCTCTGTAAGCACCCTGCTTGGCAGATGATAAAGCCTGTGCACCACCAACTTGCTTCAGGAAGAGCCCATTCACTGCAAAAATGAAGTTGCCTCTGTTCCAGGGGACACTTTGTGTGAAACCATATGACAGCCATGAATCTGAGTGTTCAGGCTAAGCAAGGAACAACTTCCTGCAGCATAAGCCAAAAGCAGGAGGTGAGAGCCCTCTTTGTCTGTGTGCAGACTATTCTGGAACCCACAGACTTCTTCTTCAACCACACCTGCAGAGATCATAACCACCACCACTACCTGTGCCAGCTGTGTTTATAATGCTAAGAGACACACAGAAGAGAATTCAGCCTCTTTATCTTGCTGGAGTCAGAGGTGAGTCCATTCTTAACAATTCAGACTTTCACACCTTAACAGTCACAATGCTTTCAGGAATGTGACTGGAGCCACACAGACCTAAACCCACACTGAATTATGAGTGGACTCTGTATCATGTGTTTGTGTTCTTTCCACTGGACAGAGAGTCACTGTGATTGCCTAATTTGAAATGGTTCAGAGCCAATCATAGCCTTTCTTACTGGCATATACCAAATCTGTATTCACACCATCACAAAATTAGGTTTGTGAAAGGTAAACAAACATTAATATTCTTTAAACCACAAGCAATAAGATGATCTCATAATGGAAGAAGAAATAAATTGTAACACATTCTAAAGCCAAATATAAATTACTTTGTGATTTTTCTTTGTTTTATAGACTCTGGGGGGGAAAAATCAAGTATTACTTTGTTTCTATACCACCTATACATGAACACTTTCTAATAAGAAAGAGACCAAACCGAACTGGATTCTGATCAAAGTCCTATGTTGTTGTTCTCCATTCTGGAAGATAAAATTTTTACTATAAGCCAGTATTGTTGTTTAAAAACTGGCAAATTCATTTTTAACTGAGGATTTATTTATAACGCTTATTTATTGTTACTTATTTACTAAAATTACATACTCAAGACCATATCTAATATATGTTAGCTTCTGGTACAATAAAAGAACCAATCGCTCCAACTTACCCTGAATTCATACTCTATTAAACTTCCCACTTCATCTTCAGATTTCATAGCTTGCTCACCAACAACTGTACCTCCAAAATACACCTGGGAAGGTTTAGCAACTCTGTCAAATTAAAAACCACCAGTTTTAGTGAAGATTGTAAATGGTTCTTTCAAACATTGATTTGTTATGCTAAACACAAACACTTACCCAGAGACCGATAAAAGCAGTTCAATAACCACTTTTGCTTTAGCTGTAATTGAAGCCAAATTATCTTGATTGCTTGTTCTGAAAACGAAAAGGAAACAATAGGGCTTTATTTTAACAGTCAGTTTTCTCATTACAATTACATTTCTTTTATGAGTTAGATCAGGGCTAATTCATTGACTACTCATGTTTTCAGGAAATAATTCTGAATGGAAAGGCTGAAGTAACTCTTACGTTTCCAACTTCAGATTAATATCCAGATCTGTGGTGTCAAAGGTGACCTCTGTTGTACTTAAAATCAAATAAAAAGTAACCTAAAAAAACATAAATAGCCATTAACAACACAGGCCATGCTTATAGACACAGTAATGGAATTTAAGACAATAAAATACAGTATGTGAAGGCATCACCTACACTGGAATTTCTTTTAAAAGGATTTCCGAGATCGCAGTCTGCTTGCGAGCCATTCTGGTTGGCGACACAACTCAACTGTTTCTCCTGTAACAGAAAATCATACTAGGTCACTGTACATTCATTTGCCACACCATGTTGGTTTTTTCCTCCCAGCTGCTCTCTATGAGTACTTACAGGGAAGGCCCTCAGTTCTCTATATGCAGAATAAGTCAAAGTGTCTGGGAATGTCGCAATGAGTTTAGCTTCATGCGCATCATCACCATCTTTTGTGGGATTCCTTGGATTGGAAGGGCTGTTTGTCACTGTTATTTCTAAAGCGATATCCTTCTGATCTTTTAGAACTAGTTCTGGAACACCTTTTTGACTATTAAAAAACAACAAAGAAAAAGACAAAGTCCTCAATACATTTCCGGTAACCCTTTCTTAACAAAAAGCCACTGTGAAGCCAGAGTCATTTTTTCTAGTGCTACAGAGCAATTCTTACATTGGTAAATAAGAAAATTTGTCTTGACTTCCTTCTCTGGTACAGAATTTGTACTCTAGTTTAAGGTTGCTATTACACACATTGTCGTCTCCACATCCCTCTTTTAAGAAGTGCACCTGTAGGAAAACAAAACCACTGTAATTTATGCCATTCAGGACTCGAGAAAGCATCTAAGTACGTGACTGGCAGTTCATTTCCCTGCGTGACAAACACCATTGCAGAATGCAAGCTTCAAACATACTTTGCCATGTGTCTAACTCCCATCTCGTCCTTCAACAAAACTGTGTCTTAAGAACACTTTGACCAGGGCAATGAGGCAGCACGGTGTAGTAAAGAGTGTGAGCCCCACAGCCACACAGACCTGGGTTCCACACCTGGCTCTGCCGCTTACTTAGCTGTGGGGCTTCGGGCAGGTCATTTAACTTTCAGAGTCTAAGTTTCATCATACGTCATATGGGGATACTGCCACCCTACTTTATAGGGCTACTGTAAGAATTATCAATAATGATGATACCAGCTAACCCATCGTTTACATATTTTAACTCATTTAATCCTCACAATAGGCCTCGGAGGAAGACGCTATTATTAGGAGCCCCATTTCACAGATGAGGAAACAGAGCTTAAGGTCAAATAAGCCAACGGCACAGAGTTATCTAGCACAATGCTAATGGGTGCTCCGTAAGCACACTGATACTTAATTAGCAAAACTGTTTCCTTGCTTATGTTTGACATGGCTATGGAGCCGGTAATGTACATAAGAAATAGTGACATAATAACAATGAATAATGGCAAAGTACATGGAAGTATACAAAAATACAGGGAATTATATTTCGTGATAAGATTGACCAAGTGTAGATTTAGGCATCAGCTCCTAAGCCTAAGGCAATGAGTACTCACTTCTGTAAAACTGTATCCACAAGCCACCAGTACCCAGGAGCCACAGAGTGGACAAACACTCTGTCGCCAATTGGATTTTGATAGCAAGTGCATAATGGCAAATCAAGATGTCGTAGCTTGCCAGGCTAATCTTGCATCTTAACCGCACTAAACCCTAGCAAAAAGACCTCACCCTCATGAGGTATCCAGCAAGCCATACAATATAAATCTATCTTCCAAAGATGACTTAGGCTACATTAGGCACTAAATGACCATTTGGTTGCTAATACTACTTTGCTTTGCTGAACTTTGACATTCCTTGATTTTAATGTTCCAAGTAACAACAATTTGTTTTCTACATTTTGATGTTCTCAATGGCAAAATACAATGTATTTTTCTTTCTACATACAGCTACAGGAGAAACAATGTGAGAATATAAGCTCTGTCAATTATAGTCTCAATAAGTGACAGTGGCCAAAAATGATGAAAAAAATATGTGGTCCCAAATTATAATTCATATTTCTATATTCATTGCTAATTTGGGAAACGAGTCTTCTCAAACTTTACATATATTAAGAAGCAGATTAATACAAAGGAATGACCTTTAAAGCAACTCACTAGTTGTACTGCCTTCAAAGACGTTTGATCTAGCACCATAATGTGACAAAAACTTCAGCCACACAAAAATCAAAGACTTACATCTGTATGAACAGTCTTGGGTTCGTTTGAATTCAGAATTGGAAGAACTTCTGGAAGTGAATTCACTCGCCTACGAGAGGTTGGCTCTTTGATCTCCACTGAAGCAGTTATGGGAATGGGACGCAGCTTATCTCTGATATTTTCCTAAAAAGTATGCAGTCATATAGTTAAGCATGATATAAATGCTACTGGAGAACTCCAAAACAATGATTTTGTATTAACGGGTTGCCACAATAAGTTTCAGAAATCTGTATGTCACCATAAAACCTACCTTCCGTCTTGTTTAAAAAAAATGGAAGTGACTAGACTGTCTGCAGCCCTCACCTGTAGCCAGAGGGTTTCCTCCATGCACATTTTCTGCTTCTGCCTATTCAGAGTTAGTTCTTGAGTATACCTGGGCTCAGAACCTTGGTTTCGAAAATGAACTCTTGACGACAGCCCAGATTTTCTTCTTTCTTTTTCAGCTTCAAGTGTGCCCACAATTGCTAGACAAAATTAACAAAATCATATTAACTTTAAGTGCGTTCATGCACAACCCAGCTTCAAGTATGTTGAGCTTCTTTTAAAATATTTAATTCCTTGTAGAACAACACTTTTCCCCACTGCCATTGTTTCTCTTTGTATTTCTTGGTAATGGACATTTGGATGATTGTGATGTTTCAAGTCAAGCTGTCTTTTCCTTCCTTTTCATGTTGGCAATGTTTCAAAGTTAAATTTTCATTGGGCCACCTGGGGGAGCTCGAGAATAAGTCAAAACCTTTCGGCAGCAGCCACTGTTAATAAGAATCAATCAGTTTCTGGCTGAATTTCATGAACCCACAGAATACTAACGATAACTAGAGGGACCAACGTTCCCGAAGGGCCTAAACTAGCTCTCTCTCCCTTTCCAAGTCCGATGCTTAAGTGGTCTTGTGCCTTTACGGTTCAGAAAAGGTCTTTAGAACAGCAGCAACTCCTGAGACCCTGTAAGGAATTCAGGTCCGTCCGCACCCAGGGAACCAGAATCGACGTTTTAATAGCATAACCAGATTCTTATACATATTGAAGTTAAGAAGCACTGATAAAGGATAGTTCTCTGAACAGAATAATAATATATATCAGAGAAGTCTTTTGACAGTAGGATGAGACCTTTATTTTTTAAAAAGTTAAAGAATTAAAAGGTAAACTATATTCCTTTTAGTGGCGGGAGGGCCCATTTGTCAGTGTAATACAGCTCTCACAATCAAAGTTTCCAACCTCTACTGGTTTGGAAGGAACAGCCTGCTCTTGGTCACCTATACTAGTGGAGCTTGGAGGCAAGCCAGGATTTGGGTTATCAAAATCTCATTTCTTGACTTCAGAACGCATTCTTTGTCGGTTCACTGGACGTAGCCACTAACCATGTTTTTTGTGGGCCAATACTTAAATTACTTACATTCAGTAAGCACTCACTAGCCATCAAAAGGGAAAGCAAACCAAAGCATGCACAGGGCCAGAGAAGGCAGTCTCGAGGACAAGAATCTGCTACACAAAACATAGAAAATGAACAACCCACATTCTAATATTCACATTAGAGTTGGAAGAGACCTTTTGGCGAGCATCTATTTTAATACCTTCCTTTTGCAGATGAAGACATGGAGGCTTAGGGTCATACAGCGAGGGGCAGAGGCATCGCCAGCTTTGAAGTCTCTATCGCCAACACAGAAGACTCTGCCTCACACAGCCTCCTAGCTGTCTGGGACGTGCTCGGCTCCAGGCCTCTGCACGAGGCACGTGCCTTGGCCGGCTGTGCTCCCTCCTCTCCCACCTCCCCGCCTGCGTGGCTCCCCCACCTCCCCTTCAGATCTCAGCTGGGACCTCACTTCCTACAGGAGCCTGTCCTGGCCTCTCCCCGTGATCCTAGAGTATTCAGTTTCTCCAATCCCAACACTTCGCTGTGACTTCCTGTTTCAAAGTGAGGCAAAACTGAGGACAGGGGCCACGTCAGTCTTGCTCACCACCGTACTCCCAAGCAACTAGCACAACACCTGACAGAAACATGATTTGTAGCATAGACAGACGGAAGTGGAAATAAGTGTGCACACATACACACAATTTGACATCATTCTTGTGCTGAAACAACAGCTATTCGCATATGTAAGACCAAAATTCAGAAACACTAGTTTTAATAATAATTTTTATGTCCATCTGAAGAATTCTTAAATGTTACAGCTGCCAAATGCTCCCCCATTTTAGGCCTTGACATCGTGCATTTGTGAGTGACCTGCTAACTTCACAACGAACCGGATAAAGGCTCACACGCTGAGTGCCCCTCAAGGCTATAGCATGGGAGGTGTGGGGGCACGAAAACCATTTACCTACCAAACCCACCCTACCTGTCCTAACCTTCCCGACAGTTCACAGCAACTTAAGATCCTTGCAGGGCCCCTCTGCTGACTTTTTGAGGTGCAAGCCAAGTAGAAAACTCACTATAGGTCTCTGTATGGATGGAATGCCACATCTGAGACTGCTGAGTCAAACAGCCTGGTAAAATAAGAAACTCACATCCTCGGATACTGGAAAAGATTTTAGCTGTATTAATTTAACATAGCTTTGTGCAAGTTCTGTTTTATTTCATTTAGAATTTCCCAATGTGGTGGAAGAATGAGCAATGAAACCCAGCATTCTCCAAATGTCTTCCAAAGAAAAAGTGCTATCCGTAATAGACCATCAATAAACACTGGGTTAATGGAGTAGTTATATAATATAAAAGTAATACACGTGGCATCAGATGCTGCATTAAAGCTAGGAGAAACCTTGTAATTTATTTTATAAAAATGATTAATGTGGGGAAAGACAAGGAATGCTATGATGAGACTTCACATCTATAGTCCAACTAAGAGTGATTTGAAAAAATAACAATCAGAATAGAATAAAAATGTTTCTCCATGTCCTCTCTGCTGCCTAGTCAAAGAATCACTGTTTCTCTTTGTCTCTCTAATCCACTCCCAACAATGGCAAGGGCCTGTTATTCAGTTGGGCAAGTGGAAGGTACTGCCTTTGGGTAAAAATAACACAAACAATACTGAGAGGATGACAGATCCGGAGGAGTCACGGTATACATTTTCTTGTCATTAAAAGAATTGCTTTCTACACTCGACAAAATGCCGACTGCATCAGAAAGCAACGTGAAAGGTCACAGTGCCCTGCGCACAAGGTCCTAATGCATCCACTCTAAGAACGCTTTGCGCGAGGCGTGTGCGTCCCACTGGGGAGAACACACAGCAGGAGATGGCCCCACAGAAGGGGAGATGGAGACACCACCTGAGGACAGCTTGGAATCTGCAAAGATGAAGGCTAAGTGAGCTTCTGACAGTGAGAACTGGGTGAAGGCAGACTTTTTATTAAAGACACAGCATATTGATTTAAACCGTTATTCTTCATAACTCACTGAATCTTTCTATCACAGGTCAGTATCTTCCCTTTGTTACCTTATTGGGTACATTCATTAGTGTCACCCAAGAACTCCACATGAAATTAAATAATTACTACAGTACGGCTACACAGAGTCCTGACCTGTGTGAGCAGACTCCCCATCACGCACCCTAGTCCTTAATGTGGTTATTTTTTCGGTTTCAAATAACATTAGATTATGTGAATCAGGTTACATACTGGGATATTAAAAGGAACATCTTTTTTTAATAAAGAATACAGAGTAATACTGTAGATAATGGGAAAACTTGAGAGAACTCATTTACCTCAAGGTGTAGTAAAGACTGACAAACCTACGAAAGGACAGAATGACAAAGTCCCCTGATGGCAAACATGATACACTAGAATACTGAGCTGCTGGGACCATGGCCTTACCTGGGATGGGAATTTCCTCATTCTTTTCACCTCCTCTTTGAAGAAAAGATTCTCTTTAAATTCCCACACCCCTACACTTGACCCTGCAGCCATACCCGAAGAGGTGTGGCTACTCCTAAAACAAACCACAGAAGACCTTAGCTATGATCACTGTTGTTAGCAATGTCAAAATCTGTGTCAAAAACCCTCTTTGGGATTACAAAGACAGGAAGCGGAGTAAGATCTTATAAATGACAAACTGCTTTTCCCCACATTTTCTCATTTCATCTCCGCCACAATCCTATGTAGTCATTACTATTAGAGGTATAGATGTATTTTTTTAACTGATGGGAAAATTAAAAACTCAGCGTTAAGGGACTTGCCCTGTGCTGCAGGGTCAGGCAGCATCAAAGCTGAAACCAGGAGCATAGCCCAAGTCTCTGACTGCTCAGGGCCACCCTGCGAATTCCCCAGGGGCCTGCACTTGGGAACGCAGGTTGGGTGTTCTGGGCCACAGAGGCCTCTTTGGGAGCGGAGAGAACATAACCTGGCACCAGTGCTCGCTGTGCTTTCGCTCCTGCAGCTCCCCTCCCTCCACCACCCACCACCTCGCGGCCACAAAACCAATTTTCCACACTGCTTTTCAAAGACAGAAACAGAGGAAACAGTTGTGGTAGCAAATAAGTACTTTTCCGAGGCATTCTGTCCTAAACCATCTGCTCTGGAAAATTCAGATGGAGACTAAACGGAGAGTTTTTCCTCTCTCACTGTGCTGGGGCCTCTTGATTAAAGGGCAGACAAAAGATACCCTTCATTCTTTAAACAAGAATTTACGGACCCATTTGGGCCACTGCAGTTTTACTTTTCTGTAATTTATGCAAAAATTTCAACCTGGCAGACAGAAAAAATACATACATATTTTTAAATGTACTAGGTACTTACATATCGAAGGATTATAACCTGCGGGTTTGGCAGTATATTCGAAACAGGCTTTAACCTTGAGGCTGTATAAAATCAAACACATATTTCTTAAAAGATGCATTACTGCAGTGGAAAAAACCCAACATGTGCCCCGTCTCTGATCCCCTCCAACTGCACACTGGTGAGTGAGATGTTATACAAACACTTGACGGGTGCCTCTTCCCTTCACCGAGCACTCCTGGGACCTCCCTGTGGCTCCTCAGGGTAACAGGGTCACCACAGAGCAGAGGTGGGAACTGAGGATGAGTCCACCAACACAGAGGGACGCTCACCATATCCCGCTGGGCGCCCCGCATGCAGTTCTCTGGCGGAGGTCAATTCTCTTAGGAGTTACTGTGATGGTTTGCTGAATATCAATCACAGGCCGGGATCTGAACACAAAGGAGTGAAAAAATAAGTTCAGCCTTTTGTTATCTTGAACATGAGGTTAATTCACATACTAGGTGACATCCTTAGCTGCCTAGTACATCTTAAAAACACAGGGAAAAAAATATTCACACATGTAACTTTCTTTCCCATTGGTGAAGAAAACAACTATTAATAGATATAAGTTTATATAAAGTCTGACTGTACAGTATTTGTTTAAAATCTTACAGACTTATAAGTATGTATGCAACATGTAAAAATTTCAGGGTTTTAAAGCAAATATTTTGGCTCCATCCCCACCCAAATACTCAAGTACCTTTGTATGTTCTTCCAAATACATATCAGTCTACATGTGCTTCTGTTAAAAATATTTAAAATTAAATATAAAAATATACGTATAATTTCAACTAAATGGGAACTTTTTACGCTTATTGTTCTGTATGTTGCTTTTTCTTGTTCATTAAGATGCTCGCAATCAGGTGTCTACAATGTGTGAACCTAGCAATGCAGTAAATCCTGAACTCGTGAGTCTCCACCTTACAGCAGTTGCCCTTCTTCAGCCTCCCTCTGCCTCCTGCTGCCAAGATTGAATACAACTTCTCTATCCCCACAATCTCTCTGTAAGCAAAAACTTGAACCTCTTAACCTCTTCCAATCTCTTCTCTACCCACCCCAACGCTGGAAACAGTCGAGCAGCTGGACTCCCACACGCTCTCCCTGCTCTCCATCTAAAAACACCTTTCTCTCCTCTTACATATCTCTCCCCTGTTCCCTGCAGCCAAAGGGGCTGCCATGGGCTACAGCCTGATGTCTTCCACAGGCACAAGAAATACAGGTACACACGGTGGTTGAGGGGGTACGAGGGGGCTGGGGAGAAACTTCTTCAGCTCCCACCTCCATTGCTCTCTGCCAGAACCCAGAATGGGGTCTACGGTTTCACTAACCACGAGGATTCAGTTAGGCTGACTTCAGTGGGCTTGCGGTAAACTCAGCCATCCTCGGAAACATGTTTTCATAAGAAAATGCATTCCAAATCCCAGACAGCTAGCTCAAACCTCTGGAATCAATCTGTTGGGAGGCTGGAAAGGGCACGAGTCCATTCACAGTGAAGGCTGGGCCAATACTGCCACAGTCCCTGATTCTCCGTTTTCCTTTATCTCAATTGTTTACCTTTCTATTTTATATTTAGACAGCTGCTACTTTCTAAGATACAAACTAAACACATTCTTAAATTTTGAGAGCATATTTAAAAGGCAAAAATATACAAGCATTTTTTAATTAGTTGCCACAGACATAGAACATTTTACGTATCATAGTATCAATGCTTTCGTGTGATATAAATTTCAAAAGAAAATATTTTAACACACATTTCTGCCTAAGGTCTACTTTAATTTCTGTTTTATTGGCTTGGCGACTTCATGTTTAATTGGTGTTTATTTACTAATTATCTTGAAGTACTAGTATGATTTAGTGGCCAAAAAATGCCCAAGACTGAAGTTGGGAAGATTTAGGTGTACACATCCTATCTCTCAGGATCCAGCCTTAAAAGCTCAAGCAAGTCCTGAGCCTCAGTTTCCTCATTTGCAAAACAAGGGGGGTAGTCCTCCTCTTGTTATCAAAGGAGTTTGAAATTTACTGTCACACGATATATGAGGAAAGAGGGAACAAGTTTTCAGGATTTGTTAAGTCAATCTACTTTTGAGGACAAGAAAGTCAGGGTATTAAGGTATCAATGACACATAGAGGCAAATATTTAACTGACTAAAGTTACATCATCTATTGGGGAAAACTTGGTAACCAGGTTTTGGTATAGGAAGTCAAGTCTCCTTGACAGTTGAGGGTTATACCTCAAAATGGAACGAGAACATCAAATTGCTGTTTGATGGAAACTTAGCTAAAACAGCTAAATATTATATATTTTCTTATCTTTTTAAAATGTTGTATTATTTTAAGGTTAATACCTATACAAGCAGAGAGAAACTTGCATTTATAGGCAGTGTCCGAGAACAGCCAGATGGGGCACATTCTCAATGCTTTCACTAGGAGAACAAACAGTACCACACCACTCACTCCCCAGCACGATGGCTCACATGGCCGAGAGAGTCTTGCAAGACTGACGTACATCACCAACAACATCAACTGCTACTGACATATCAGCATTTTCCTGAGCTCTTTCCTTCCCAGATTACATATACATGTTCATTTATTTAATTGAACTTTTTTTGGCTTCTTCTTTTGACCTAATTAATATCTCAGACACAGTCTTCTTCAACTTTTTTTGAGGCTCCTACTTTTGCCATCTGTAACTTCTTCTGTGCTCCTTGGTTTTCACGAGATGGCTTTCATAGATCTTGTCATTTCACCGGAAAATGACTTTTTTCCCCATGCATGACTTTCATTATATCACGTAATATTCTCTTCAGAAGTGTCCTGGGGTCGGTTTCTAATTCCCAGGGTTTTTGTTTGGGATATTTTAGATATGGAGGCTACGTGTACATCTGGAAGTCTACAGGGCAATGAAGGCACTAAGCATACGTGAACAGAGCTTTTTTCGCTTAAGAATTTTAATGCACATTATTGCCCATTTCTTTATTTTTTAAGGAATAAAAGTCTCTATAAAGCCAACTAGCTTTAAAAAAACAACCAACCAAATGGTTTATTCTCACTAGCAATTAAAGAAATGCAAAGTAAAAGATCACATATCACACTGGCAAAAATTAAGTAGACTCATCATATTCAATGTTGGTAGGGTTATTTGAAAATAGGCCTTCTCATAGGTTGTTATCATGAGCATAAACTGTTACAACTTATCTCAGAGTATAGGTATTAATAGAAAAGGGTGCTAACCTACATCCCAAGAATTTTATTTATAGAAACTTTTCTTTTAAAAAAACCCATCACATAGAAACATATACAACATACCATAGCACACTGTTTATAATAGGTAAAGATTAGAGACTAAAATTTTCATCAAATATTAATTCAATGTCTATAATGCAGTAATAATTGTTAAAAAGAGTAAGATTGATGTATATGTACTGACAAGGAGAGACACCCAACAGAGATCAGACTTCTAAAAACCAGATTAGAGAATAGCAGTTATAGTGTGGCCATTTGATGATACCCTAAAAATGCAGAAATACACAATAAACCTAAAAGTTGTTTCATGGAAAATGGGGAAGATGGAATAATGGGGAACTTGCACTTTCTACAATTCTGTATTAACTTGTTTTTAAGAACCTGCTCTTCTAAAATTAAAAAAGAAAAAAAATTGTAATGGTGATTTCCAGCAGTGATGAAAGTCTAGGAAAGGGAGACTCAGACACAGCTGATGGGCAAATCAGTGTAGCCTTTGTAGTTTTGTTTTTTTTTGTTTTGTTTTGTTTTTGAGACAGAGTCTCACTCTGTCTCTCAGGATGGAATAGAGTGGTGTCATCATAGCTCACTGCAGCCTGCAACTCCTGGGCTCAAGAGATCCTCCCACCTCAGCCTCCTGAGTAGCTGGGACTACAGGCCCACGCCACCATGCCTGGCTAATTAAAAAAAATTTTTTGTAGAGATGGGTCTTGCTATTGCTTAGTCTGGTCTCGGACTCCTGGACTCAAGTGATCCTCCTGCCTTTGCCTACCAACGTGCTGGGATTACAGGTTTGAACTACTGTGCCCAGCCAACTTTATTTTGGAAAAGTACTCAATGGCATGGTTATGCATCATAAATGGCCAAGAGCAGGTTTGAAGATAGTTATGTACAATTATGATCTCAATTTTGTTAAATATACATGTATAATCACAGAAAATAAAAGACTAGAATATAAATCAAATTCGTGGAGTTGACTAAAGGATGGTGAATTATAGGGTATTTCCTTTATGTTCTTTGTACTGTCAAATTTTGTGTGTTTTGTTTTTTCATCAAAATTACAGTTTTTAAAATATTTATGAAGTAAAAATTGTCACTAATTTGGACCTATATTTTCCTCGATTACTTCAAAATTAGCAAGATTTTACAAAATAGGTTTTTACATTAACCTCAAAAGAAAAAGAAATATCTTCAAAATTCATATAAGCCTTTGAAGTATAGGTGTTACAAATTTTAATGCAAAAGGTCAACATTTTAGTGTAACTTGATTATTGAACATATTTAACTAAAGTCATAGATAATATACCTGAAAACAGTGACTGAATCTGAGAGGGAACCAACAGCCACATCAGGGTAGGAATTTCGATCAAGGTCCATATTTCCAGCAATTGAATATCCAAAATAAGGTGATGTACCCTCAAGAACCTGAAACAGACAAGGCATCAGAATGCACACAGGTCACCAAAATGAGCTTCTTCACTATGCTTTGAAAAAGACATTCAAGTTTCTTTTGAACTGAAGTGTACGAGTTCACTTATAAATAAGTTATATTAAATTATAAATAAATCATACATATACACATGATCGAACATTTCATACATTTCATAAAAATCATCTGATTTATATAGCACCTCAAAGGATAAAAGAACCAATTTGTGATGAGATTGTTTACTATTATATATTAAGTCAATCGAGTTATTTCAAACCAATCCTCCCCACCTTCCCTATAAAAGTCTTATTTTTCTGTAAAGTAATTTCTAATTTTTCATGTCTAAATTCTCCATGTAATTACAATCATGTTTTTTTCTGCCCAGTTTCATCTCTATTTAGTACGCTACTAAAGGAAACAGATCACACTTCCATCTCTTTATGCTGTCAGGGTGGAAAAGTCTTTTGCTTTGGATTACTTTGATTCCTAATTATGTAAGAAATTTTATAATTAAAACAAGCGGGTCAATTGCATTTATATATTTATTTTGAAGCTATCTTTTAGTAATAAATTCTTAAAAAACAAAATTCATACTGTCGTAGACTTGTAAATAAAATAGTATGTAGTACAAAAAGTCACATAAACGTTCTATTACAAGGCAAAAGAGCTGAGACTCTTAGCTGTAGAAATCCAAGTTATTTGGTTACCTGTGTTGGTTTGGTATTTATTCCATTTGCAGATCCATGATAGATAAAAACCTTTCCCATATCATCATAGGGAGCTCCAACTGCAATATCTGTTGACAATATCACATTTTAACAAACATTTACATTTTTAAAATACTTCAGTACAGTATTTTAAAATAAGATAACACAAGCACTCATTATATAAACAGTCAAATAATCTATAATTCACAATGATTTTACAAACTATTATCTACCTGGGTAGCCATCCTGATTAATATCTCCAATATTTTTGACTGCAATGCCAAACATAGAATCCTTGGTTCCATTAAGACGAATTGGTTTGACATTATTCCATCTGCCTTGCTGGTTAATGTAGACATACACTGCACCTCCAACCTCTCCATCTCTATCAAAATACTGTGGGGCTCCAATAATTATATCTTGCCACCTAAAAACATAATGAGTGGAAAGAACTGTGACCCATCAGCTAAAATACTAGCAAGCTTAAGAAGAATACCACCAATCCATGTGTAATAGGGACTCAAAGAGATATATTATTAAGGTCATTAAATATGAAATGTCCAATTTCAAACTGAAAGTTTAGTTTATTATATCTCAAAGCAGCAGTACAATTAATCAAAGTATGTGCCCAAACTATAGACACAGCTTTGCCATCTAAACAGTAGCTTGTTTATGCCAGCAGTGAAGAAGCCTAGAGAGCAAGTGGCAACGAAATTAGGAAAGGTGTTTTCCACAGCTTGTTGACAACTGAATATTTTTCCTTGCAAGAAGTGGTCCAATAGGTAATGAAATTGTACTGTATATTGAATTCATGCTAAATAAGTAGATTTTAGCTGCCCTGCTACAAAAACAAAAATAAAATTGATAACTATGTTTGATGATTAAAAAAAAAAAAAAAAAAAAAGAAGTGGTCCAAAGCCTGGAAGAAGTGGTAGTCAGTTGGTGCAAGGTCTGGTGAATATGGAGGATGATACAGAGTTTCTAAGTCCAGCCTCTGTAGTTTGAGTAGCATTGTTTGTACAACACATGGTCTTGCAAAGAGGATTGGCCTGTCTCTATTGACCAATCTCGGCTGCTTAACTGCAAGCATCCTCATAATTTTGTCCAATTAGTTGCAGTAGACATCCACTGTAATGGACTGACCAGGTTTCATGAAGCTGTGGTGGACAATACAGTGCTGGATCACCGAACAGACACCATTAGCTTTTTTTGATGACTATTTGCTCTTGGACTGTGTTTCAGCACTTCATCTTTAACCAACCATTCTCCAAATGCTTGCGATTGTTAAAAAGAATCCATTTTTCATCACACATAACATACAGTGTAGAAATGGTTCACCTTTATGTTATGATAGCAAAGAAAGGCAAGCTCTGAGATGATTCCTCTTCCAATGCTCGTTTAATTCATGCGGTACCCATCTATCCAGCTTCTTTACCTTGCCCATTTGTTTCAAATGGTCCAACACTGTTGGAATGGTAACGTCAAACCTTGCTGCTAATTCACGCATAGGTTGAGATGGATTCGCTTCCGCTATAGCTTTCAGCTCATCATTATCCACCTTAGTCTCAGGTTGCCCACATGGCTCATTTTCAAGGTGAAAATTAAAAAGATTAAAAGAACGGAACTTCTCAAACCATCGTCATACTGTGCGTTCATAAGCCACATCCTTCCCAAACACTTTGTTGATATTTCGAGCTGTCCGCGCTGCATTGGTTCCACGATGGAACTCATATTCAAAAATAACAAATTTTTGACTTATCCATGGTTTCATAAAAATTGCTCTAAAAAAATCTGAAAGATAATCGCAAGCCAAAACGTGTGCTTAAAAGAGTGAGGATGTACCGTCACGATAACAAAAAAAAAGAGTCAAAGTGAAATGTCAGAGATATCAACTGTCAAACTTAGTACTTAAGGAAATTGGACATTCCATACTTAATAACCTAACAGAAACTCAAATATGGAATTTATGATCCAATTAAAACATTTTTTAAAAACCAAGGTAGGCTATAATAAGCATCCCAAGAAAAATATCAAGGGTAAGAACTGAAAGCCAGTTGCTCAAGTCAGAACGGTACTGCAGCAGGTACTCCTGGTAAAGACCTCACCACTCCAGCCTCCCCAGCTGGCACCAGCAGCCACAGATGTTGACTTTGTCACCAGTATCTACTTACAACAGGACATGCTGGGTGCTCCAACAGCCCCTTAAGAAATCACAGAACAGAAACACGTGGGTGTCATTCTTTAATTTTTTTAAAATTTTAATTCTCGTGGACCCATGATCCCAAGACATGAGTAAAAAATGAAAATCAAAAATGTAACCCTACACCCTGGGGAGGGTAATGAATGTCTGCTGCCATCCTACAGATGATGAAGATGGGATGGTAAAAATCTGGTAGTAAAAATACTCGTTGAAACAACTAACCTGAAAGGATGGCTTTTCTCAAGACCTACAGAAGCCAAAGAAGCAACTATCCTGCAGTATAAAATAACCTGAGATGCTCTTACCCATCTTTGTTGAGGTCCGCCACTGCCACATCATAGCCAAATGAAGAAGCCAGACCTTCCCCATCAAATATGTGCTCGGGGAGAAGATGTGCAGACTTCAAGTCTCTTTTTAGCAAAACCACAGCTCCACTGTGATTGGCTCTCGGCGCACCAGATACAAAAGTGATCTCATCCTTGGAAACAATACCTTTCCCTGAGTCCAAAGAAAAGCCTAGAAAAACAAAATACAGCCTTTCACATCAATCCTGTATTTCAGGAGGTGTATGACATTGGTAACTCTATCATTAACCTTCCTCTGGCTTCCCATCGTCTCTCCTCCTGACCTCCCACCAGCTACCACACTTACCAGTTATAGAGCTAGGAGATCTGACACAAGGACAAAGGGCTAGGGCTAGTTCGCTGCTTTCTATGGATATTAAGACTTTTAAAGAAAAGCATCTATGCTATGCAGCATTTGTATAAATTGAATTGTGAAATATTTGTGTACCTTAACAATCAATTTGAATCCTATTTTAATATTGGAATTATGGTCAAAGGAGATCAAGCCAGATATTGAATTACCATGAGAATGTTACATCATACACACAGAGACTACACCCAGGCTTGTAGCATAACTGAGTCCATGTCATAAGTTCTGCCATAACGTAAGGACCAGTATTTTTACATGAATAATGTCCATATTCACTCTACTTGATAATCAGGCAAAAACAAATCCTAATAACATTAATATACCATAGACAGTATTTCATTATTTTGCATCAACTTAGTTCTCAGACACAAACATGCAAACAAAACCATGACTGATGATATATAGTATTTGAGAACCTACTATAAACAACAGAGGTGAGGAAGTTGTCACTGACGTGAGTTACACACTTGTTCCGAGGGCAGAAAACATTAGAACTCCCAATTATAAAGCATCAAGTAGGATGCAGATTACAAATACTGAGATTTGGTGGAAAGCAAATATAAATGCCCGTGTCAAAAACCATTCAAATTAAGCAAATCTTTCTATACAAAGGTGAGGCAGATGCAGAATAACACAAGCTCACCCTTTTTAGTGGGTTTTATTTATGAAAAGCTTCACCACTACTGTTGCAGTTCTCAAATTGTGAAGTGAGTTGAAAAATATGATGAGCCACACGTTTAAAACAGGGTGAAATAAAACGGAGTGATTATCATCGGATCCGGCTCTGAAAGCCACCTGGCAGCAGAGCCTCAACCACGGCATGCTTTGTGTGTGCGTCACTTGAGATGAAATAGAAAATAAAAAGATTTGTGCTCTGTGTGGATCAAAAAAAATTTTTAAATGACCATGACCAAGACAATTTGTCATCTCAGAGGTCACAAACCTAGGTAGCTATTTGTCATCACATCTGGGGCTGTGTCAGGCTGCTCCCTGGGAGGCCGTGTTTTGTAAACAAACTGATCAGGATCTGTATAGGAAACGCTGGTCAAAAACAGCAGGCCTGGACACACGCATGGGATGGAAGAAAAAATAATTACGCTAGGTAAGAGGCAGGGCGGCCACTGGCACTCTCGCCGGAAGAGGAGACCACCGCTGCAGCCGGCAAGCTGCGCTCTCTGCCAGCCTCCAAAACCCCAGGCAGATCCTTTTATTCCCAAAACCCACTCACATCTTTTGAAACGACAGATTCACACACAGCATGGACAAGCAAAATGTAACAATACAGACTTGATTTCTTTCTCAGGTATCACTTTTGAGGAAATCCATTCTAAAAGTGGCAAATGCGTTTAAGGAAAAAAAAAACGCTTCCTATTTTTATATGTTATGTTCTAACAGCAACTAAGTTTACAAAACCCACGGGCCATCTATCTTAAAGACCAAAGTACTGGTTTCTTGACCACAGCAATTAAAATTAAATACTTCCCATCAAAATAATTCCTAAATAATGCATTTGAAGAAAGAGGCTGTCTGTTAAAATATACTCAAATAAAATGTTGGTTGATACTATTTATCTTGAAAAGAATTTTAACTTGAAATCCCATGTTTAATACTCAGGACTGCAAACCACACTCTCTCAAGCTCCCTTCCTATCCTGCAAGGCCACTAACTTGCTATTCACACACCCAGCTGCTTCCCATCATCTGCAATTTCATCAGTGTTGCTTTCCTTGCCTGGGAGATTATTAATGGTGTGACTTTGGGCTAGAAAACTAAGCTCCCTAAGTCACGGTTTTATTCCTCATAAAAAGGGGACAATAATACTTATTTCATAGAAGTGCAGATATGTAAAGCACTGAGTACAGTATCTGATTTATTGCACACAGAAGGTGCTTAACAAGTACTAAGTATAATTTTTCTCTTCATTCTTCTATACCTTTATACCAAGTTTTTATTTTGGGGAGGATGGGGAGTATATGAATTCAAAGGTTTTTTTTTTAAATTAACAGTATTGCTCACACATTTATACAACTGAAACTTAGTGTATGTTTCCTAGCACACTGTTTGGAATTACTCATATATGTATATCTGCTTTTTCCTTTTTAACCTTCCATTGTTCCAGTAGTATCTTAGTATATGGGTACTTTTCTCCATGCCATTTTTTTTTTAATAGGTTACTATTTAGGTTTAGAAGATTTTTTACATTTTTTTTTCCAAGAGATGCATAGTAATTATTCTTTATGTCAACTCATACCAAGAATTAAAGCTTTTAAAAGCCTTTGTGTAATTACCATAATGCACATGAATAACTTAGGACACCCATTAGGAGTAATGCAAACAAGCCTTAGGAGTTAGGGATTGGCACTTAGACACAGTCTGGGTGTCCTCAGAGCCGCTTTAGCAGTCCTGCTCAGCCTCAGCCCAGAAGCCCCTGTGCCCCCTGCCAGGGCCCTGTGACATGGGGGTCGCACTCCGGGAGCAGGGCCAACCCTCAGAGAATGGCAATCACAGAGGAAGGACCTGGAGGTCTTGACCTGCCACTTAAGAGTTAACTTTATTAAATGTAGCTCTTTAAGAGTATCTCTAGAAAGAGACACTGAATGGAGGGGGAAAGTAGCCCAGCTTACTATGAACACCCATGCATTTTTTTCATGGCTGCATGGACAGCCTGTTTCAGGTTACAGAGACCGCCATTAGCACAGGAGACAGACTTCCAAGTAGGAGGGAGGATGGACAATTTTGGGTGATAATTGGTTTCTTCCCCCTTGGAGGGAGACCAGATCAGAAGGGAAGGATCCTAGGTATCAGTCAGGTTACTTCTGGGATCACCAAGACTTATCAACTTCTAGCAAATATAGCCAGAGGCCCCAGCTCCACCTGGCCTCTTCACAGCCCAGAGGTCCAGGGGCCTGTGGGCCCTGCGAGGGAACGTCACACAAGGTTTCTGAAAAGGTAGGCAAAGGCAGCCACCTACACTCGCTCCTACCTAAGTAACTGTTAGCAGGAACAGGAACGAGACTTTCATCATGCTCAGTCTCTCCTCCAACTTCATAAGGCCCATCTTCAAAGATGTTCATGTCAAAAAAAGTGTTATTCTTTTGCTCTACGCGAACAATCCCTAAAGGAATGAAATGGTAAAAACAACAAAAAAATGAAGATGAAACAAAGTAAAATAAATGATGTATTACATCCCCCATGCTATCACTGCCTACAGGAAGAAAAATTTGGAGGAAGGAAAGGCAGAAGGAAGAGAGATGACTTCTAAGTTTGTGAAACATGTTTGTGTAAATTTTTATGTGAAAGAAATTTGAATAATTAAAAAAATGCCCCATGCATTTCCATAAGCTATCTTTATAATGCCATGAAACCAGATGGAAATGGAATATTCACTTAGTTAACAAAATCTACAGAAAATAAAATTTTTTGAATGACATGAACTTGATTTATGATATTTTATGTTCTCTGTAATCCTAAATCAATTTGTCTTTTTTCTATAGTGTAAAAGTGAAATGTATTGATCTTTTCTTTAAACCGCTTTAATCAAGATTTCATCAAGAAGATTTCATATAGTTAGCCCAAATCACTATATGACTTTTTAAAAAGGGCAACATTTTAGATGAGGGCTTATAAAGTAGATAAGATACATAATTAAAATATACATAATTGTTAGGTGTTTTGTTGTTTTCTTTTACTATATACGGTATCTGTTCTTCCTAAAATAAAACTATTCTAAATTCAACATGTCATTTCAATTAGGTAAAAATAACCTGACAAATACTCTAATGTGAAAGACTCTATCGTAGGTGAAAGGAGGAAAAAGGAAAGTTACCCTTGAAGGTTACCGTGCTGACATACAGAGAAAGGTATTTGCAAGAATCATTTGTAACAAGAACTAAAACCTGGACATTTTTGAACGAAAAAGGGAACATTTTCCTAAGTTTTTCCTGATAAGTGAAAATGTTATATGATTTTAATAAATTTCTCAAAAGAAGTCTTATTCCCAAATCAGATGTAGTTTTCTTCATCATGGATTAGAGTCAAGTTAATTGTCTTTTATGATACAGGAGTTTCCTACACATGCTTAACTTCTTCAGGGAAGTTAAACCGTATCACAGGAACTGAGTGGGTTCAGTCAGTCAAAAAATGTGGGTCATTTTCCTCCCTCCCTCCCAATATCTCCTTTTACCCATACAACAATAATAAACAACTGTTTCTCAGAAATTATCTGAAATCATCATCTCGAAATTCCCCAATTTGTCTGTCATCTGCCCTAGTAACGTTACTGTGTTATTAGCAAAATACGGCCTTTGGAGATAATGTACAATGAAAAAACGCCCATATTAATATACTGTTATTTGTACACACCACCACTCAATCCTGTTCAATATTCAGATCACTAACTTAAAAACTTTTAGTTTCATGAGATAAATATAAAACAGCAAAACAACTAATGTTAATTATTACATTCCTACAGAAAAAAGTTAGCTACTTATATTAATGTAAAATACTGACAGAGGAAAAAAATCTTAACACTAAGACATACACATTTCTACCATTATTTGTTTTTACAAAATCACATCATTTAGAGAATTTAATATCCTATCCTTTTATGATATGCAAATGCCTTATAACAAATGCCTTAAACTGTACTACATCATGGTGCATATTATAGAAACTATGGAGACATTCTAATCTCTATTTCTATAAACACAAACATCATACCTTTCCAGTTGTAAGTACCCGGAGCTCCAAACACAATGTAATGAAAGTCTTTAGTAAAAGTAGCTGCTACACCTTGCTGGCATGAGCCGAATTTTTCATGGCCTCTCAATCGGCCGTCACAAAAGCTCCAGTCTCCCCCATCCATATCATCTTCGATCCTGAGATTCTGGCTCAGGACGTAACACCTCCCAAAGATGTCTCGGGATTCCTGCTTCGTATTAACATGTTGCCTTTTTTCATATCGATGAGCACATGTCTGGAAACAGATAGAATAAAGGAGCCCACTTGTGTCTATAAACCTTGTAATTTTCAATAAAGGGTTAATTCTAAATAGGGTGATTAAACATGTCCTTATCCTCAGATTGGATCCCAAACTAGCAAATCTTCCCCAAAGTGGCACTAAGGAGACCATTATCAAATATACAGACACTAGCACTTCTGTCTTATTGTCAAAGACTAATGCTCCAATCCAAATACTGAATGTCAATCTGCACGTACAGGCAATTTATCTATAAATTTACCTGTCACATAAACAAAGGAAAACATCTTTTTACTTAATTTCCTCAATTTAATTGGCATTAGTGGCTGTATAAACCTTCAAATCAGTGTGAAAATGAGTAATTATGTTCTGGAGGATAGAAATCATGCACATTTTCACAGGGATCAAGCAAACACAGCTAAGACAAAGACACTTTCCTTTTACCCACACTATTTCCTTGTAATCAGTCCTAACTTACACTCTGAGCTCTGGGATTATTTCCTTTAATATGCCTATTTTTAAAAGGCAGAGAGAATTACATTGCCAGGAAAGATGAAATAATCTCTATAATTTCTACAGGGTATTCATAGCTACTCCACACCTAACAAAGGCTAAAAATACTTTATAATATCCAAGTCAATTTCCCATAGTGTATCCCTTAAATATCAAAATTCAATCTTCACTAAAATTTTTTTTTTCCCTCAAAGTTCTGTATAAATTCTGTTACAGCAACCAGATGTTGAAAGAGAGACAAAAAGATCATATTCCAACCTGAAAGTCAGCACTTCCAAGGCCATTTAGTACAAACTCTCTTTTCTTCACTATTGCTTCTATTTAAAGAAGTTCAGAATAATAAGAGAGTTTAAAATTATCTGATACTACTTTCCAAGACCTTTGCTTCTTTTTCTTTTTTTTTTTTGAGAGACAGAGTCTCACTCTGTCACCATAGGTAGAGTGCAGTGGTATCATCGTAGCTCACTGCAACCTCAAACTCCTGGGCTCAAGTGATCCCTCTGTCTCAACCTCCCAAGTAGCTGGGACCACAGGCGCACACCAGGACACCTGGCTAATTTTTCTATTTTTAGTAGAGACGAGGTCTCGCTCTTGCTCAGGCAGGTCTTGAACTCCTGAGCTCAAGCAATCCTCCCGCCTCGGCCTCCCAGAGTGCTAGGATTACAGGGCCACTGTGCCCTTTCCCATATTTTTTTATAACTTATCTACACAAAGCTACAAAGTTCCTAGGACACAAACTATGTGTAGTTTTCTTCTGCTTTAAGACCATGTAGAGTTTTAGAGATATTCAATACAGGTTTATTAATAAGTTCTTTGAATCTGAAAGTTCTAAAGAAAAGCAGCATGTATAACTACTTCAGAGTATCATTAGGAAAAATAATGCTTGGTCTCTTCTTGACATCCATTCCTGCTTTAAAGCAGTAAAGTGTGCTAGAATGGCTACTCCCCTCAGGCAGGGGCTCTCGTCTGCTGCTGCAAGCCTGGTACTGGCATGTAATTGGCACTCCCGACACTGTGGAATGAACACATTTCTCTACACTTACCACAACTTTGCCCCCAGGACCTTGGCTCTGGACAGTGACCCCCATCCACTGATCTTCCTTGCTCTCGGACGAAGGGTCAGCTGTGGAAAGTAGCACAGTTAGCACTTCCAAGTGACTGCATGGGCTACAAACCACAGATGAATAAAAATACAAGAAACTGTTCCTGAATCGCCTGGACCGAGCCTAGCTACTCAATTTGGAAAATTTATTTGTCATCTCAAGAAAATGGAGAAGTGGTTTTTGGTAAGAATCTTACATAAAAGTCTTTCATAAAATTTACACAAAATACACACGTCCACGTCACAGCCTGTTTTACCCAACAATCCCCTCTGCCCTCTCTTGACACCCCAGGTCCTGAATACAGAGGGTATTGAAAACTGTGATACTTAAGGGGTAGCCCTCCAACATGTGCCTCTTACACAGACGATGTAAATCCGGTTTCCAAAGTCCAACGATCAATCAAACTAATAAAAAGTGCGTATTTCTCTATGTACTTCCAAATTCTTTACATAACAGCATCAACTGTTGTGTTCTTTATTGGAGATAGGGAGATAAGGCCTCAGATTTACTTTAGAATCTCACAGCTGACAAAATATCTTTTTATCAATGCAAAAAAGAGTTATTTTTGGTTTTAAAAAAAAGAGAGAAACCACAAATACCACCATGGGCACATTTCGGTATCAATTTAAAACCCACTGTATGACACTATATCCAAATTTTTGCCTTCCTCAATGAAAAGCAAGAAAAGCATGATTTTCAATTTTGAATTATTACCAAAGTATGAAAACTAAACAACTTTAAACAGAATGAAAAATACCAAAACGTTAAATAAAGAGTATTTGACTAGACTTTTAAAAAAAGTATGTCTAGATACTGAGATTATCAGTGGATTTTTGGGTTTTTTTCCTTTACAGGTTTATGTATTTTACAAGTTTTCTACAGTAATATGTATTATTTTCTAATCAGTAAAATACAACAGATGTCATTTCTAAAAGATGAAGCAGCAAGAGAAGAACATAAATATAAATCTGCCAATCTACTTTGACCAAGCATATCAAATTAGGTTTGGTGGGGACTTCTCAGCACACTGAACTGCTCCGCCCAACCTACAGGGAAGCAGACAAAGTGGACGTTAACATGCTATGTCATGGCACCTTCCAGCTACCCCAAGTGTTCATTAAAACAAGTCTCTATCGGAGACAGTAGAGCAAATCTTATCCATGCTGGTCAGCTCTCATTTCACAGGGGGCTGATATTTAAAATAGTCTTTCTCGGCCGGGCGCAGTGGCTCACGCCTGTAATCCTAGCTCTCTGGGAGGCCGAGGCGGGCGGATTGTTTGAGCTCAGGAGTTCGAAACCAGCCTGAGTAAGAGCGAGACCCCGTCTCTACTAAAAATAGAAAGAAATTAACTGGACAACTAAAAACATATAGAAAAAATTAGCCGGGCATGCCTGTAGTCCCAGCTACTCGGAAGGCTGAGGTAGGAGGATCGCTTGAGCCCAGGAGTTTGAGGTTGCTGTGAGCAAGGATGACGCCACGGCACTCTAGCCCGGGCAACAGAGTAAGACTCTGTCTCAAAAAATAAATAAATAAAAAATAAAAAAAATAAAATAGTCTTTCTCCCCAAAATTTTAATAGCACATGAGAACTTTTGGCTGCTGAGTACAAGATAGGCTTATTCAATTTTCTTCACTGCTATGAATTCACTTTCTCAACAGCCTCCTGTAGAACCTCAATACATCGCTAGATGGCAGTATCAATACACCAAATCAGTTTCAAAACCAGCTTTAGGAGGAACAGCAAACCGCTGCATCTCTGTGTGATTAAGAAAGTATTTTCAGGGGAAATAAAAAAACAGTCAAGGCAATTAGAGGAGGTCCTCTCTGCAAGAATAAATGCTTGTACCCCCTTTCCTTCCACACGGAAAGGGCATGCAGGGTATAGGCGAGCTGGCCAAGTGAACACTGAGGGAGGGCAGAGGAACACACCATCGTTATCAAATTCAATCCGCGTGCACGGCTCCCGGGAGGTGATGTCACAGCTGTACAGGCCTCCTGTCCTGTTGGCTTTCTGCAGTGGAAGGGCTTCTGCCCGAGGGGCCCCCACCAGCAACCTGTTGATGAAAGAGAGAGAATTTAGAGATATGAATTTAATATACATTTAACATTAAAGTAGAACCAAGAGACAGCGAGATTATTCTTTGTCAAAGAGTGCACTAATTCTTTAGCAGGTTGGGGGGGGGAGCAAAGGTAGAGTGATATGACTGGCTCGTGCAAAACACACAAATACAACTACACAGGGAAGCAAAAGGGGATATTGAAAGAGGAAAAATATGCCTAATATGCCTGTGTCTCATAATATCAGCAACTCTTGCTGGGTATGAGTCTGCTGTTTAAAAGATACTTTTCATAAACCATGACCCCTAAATAGCTAAGCCAAGGACATCATAAGGAACTGAACCGACAAAACAAATACTCCCAACACTGGAAGGGAGAAATGGTCACGCTAAGTTTAATAAGCAATGACATGTCAACTCTAACACTGTGAAACATAATCAGGTATTTTTCAACGGTAACTTTGATGATATTCTAGATCTTCAGTTTATATACCAATTTAGAACCTAACTTTTGCCTAAGATACAACTCGACTGAATTATACTCTTTTGCAGCCTTGGCCTCTTTCCAGGTCAATTTTTTTCTAGCTTTATTAGGGTGTAACTGACAAATAGAAAGTGTATATATTTAAGGTATACAACTTGATGTTTGTCTTTCCGAGTCAAATCTTACCTACTGGCACTCCTGTCATCTCAGACAAGCTCCTCCATTCTCATCCAATCATATTCCACAAAGGATTCAGGGACAACTGGTGAAGCTCACTTGGCATGGCAAGATGCCGGCTTCTCTCTCACCTCGCTGTTCTTGTTAAGAGGGGCCCCAATCCAAATCCACCATCTTTAAAATTTCACTGTCTCACAGCCAGAGGGGCTCTTTAGAGATCCCCTACCTTGTTGCTGGGTTCCTTTTCCTAACACTACTCCCCACCAGCTTTACAATCTTTGGGGTCTGGCTGGCTAACGGAACAACTAGGACAACAAAAAAAGAGAAAGAACACACACCTGACTGGATAGAAACCAAGAGCTGAAAGTTTTGGAAACAAGACTGGAGCTGGGGAAAAGGGCTGGGAACAGGAATGTGCACAAAAAAAAAACTCCCACAATAAAAGCAAGCCACTCCTGGCCTTCAAGAAATACATAAATCTCAGATGCAAAAGCAAAACAAACAAAAATATTAACCAAAGAGTCCCTACCATCTCCCTTCCCTGCTGGATCCCAACAAAGAATTCATCCCAATAAAGGATTCAATGTGTTTTTTTTTAAGCCAATACAAAACAAGTGCAACAGGGGTCAAATGCACTTGGAAAACAGGGAGGGGAGCCAGACTGCCCATGGAGAGAAGAGAAGTCAACAGAATGAGGGGTGGCTTGTGGGGGAACGCATGGCCCCCTTAGTGCCTGAAACTTCTCAGTAGAGAGCAGAGGCAAGGCTGGGGACACAGGGTCTCCATAGGTCTGCCCCACCATCCCAGGAGCTCCAACAAGTACCTGAGAGGTGAATGCACTCAATTACTACACTTGGCAGATGCTGGTGGGTGGAAGCCTGTGGGGCGCTGGGAGGGATAGCAGGGTGCTGGGCCAGAGGCACAGAATCCCAGGACGTCAGCACTGGAAGCCCCCAAGAGAGGGTCCAGCCTTCTAATTTTGTAGAAGAGGAAAGGGAGGCCTTGAGGGAGGTTAATCAACTCTGCCCCTAAGATGTGACAGCTAGTTGGTAGCCAGAACAAAAATGACCTCCAGGCAATGTTGTCTCCATTCCTTTAAAATGCTTCCTAGGAAATAAAATCCAGGATTTTATGGAGTTTACAACCTAGTTGAAAGGGCAAAACTGACACAAATGAAACACTGAAACAAAAACTGTTCTGTATGCTGACAGATTAAACACATTGCTGCGCCAGAAAAAAAAATTTTTCCTTGGGGTCATGGTGTTTTATTATGAAAATAGAGTAAAAACTTTGAAAACAAAACAATCCTTTCACATTTAATGAATAATTTGTTATTTTGTATTGTTTTCTGTGTGTGGGTTATATGCAATTAAATTGTCAATGTTAACTGTAACAATAAGAACATCAATAAGTGAGATTTTCACAAACAAACTGCAGTTACAAATGCTTCACCAGGCCCCAGGCTCAAAACTAGGGGGAGTTAAATAAAACTCACATGGCAGTTAAAGTGTTAAGATTTAAATACAGACAAGTCCAGGGAAGGAAGAGTCAAAGGCGTTATTGTAGCTCTTGTTATTGTAGTTTTTGTTTTGTTTTGAGACAGAGTCTCGCTTTGTTGCCCTGGCTAGAGTGAGTGCCGTGGCGTCAGCCTAGCTCACAGCAACCTCAAACTCCTGGGCTCAAGCGATCCTCCTGCCTCAGCCTCCCGAGTAGCTTGGACTACAGGCATGTGCCACCATGCCCGGCTAATATTTTCTCTCTATATATATTTTTGTTTGTCCAGATCATTTCTTTCTATTTTTTTTTTGGTAGAGACGGGGTCTCGCTCCTGCTCAGGCTGGTCTTGAACTCCTGACCTTGAGTGATCCACCAGTCTCGGCCTCCCAGAGTGCTAGGATTACAGGCGTGAGCCACCGCGCCCGGCCCTATTGTAGTTTTTTATTGTAGTTCGGTGGGGCCAAGGTCAGGTAAGAGATTTCCTGTAAAGGTAACCACCTGCAAAGAAAAGGCTATAAAAAGCAGCCCAGGCTCCCAGTGTTGCTACTTGTGTCTTCTCTAACCACTTCCTCTTTTCACCCACACCCAGAGGCTCCTAAGCTACCTAAGGCAGGCACAGTTATTTCCTGTTTACCCCACTCCTTCATTCTTTCACTTATTCATTCAACAAATGTTCATCAAGAAGAACCTCCTGGGATGAGTAAGGAATTGCCCCACCCCCTAAACTCTGGCCTGGGAGAGCCTGATCCATACACAACTCATTAAACCACAGGGAAGTATTATAGAAGCAATGAGAGGCTGTGGGTGCCAACAGCTGACTGGGAAGAAGGGTGTCACTAAGACATGGCAGCAGAGCTGGAGGTGGCCAGGTGAGGGGCACGCCACATGCGGAGGTTGCAAGACAATGAGCCGAGGACAAGGAGCAGTGGGACGCGATGATGCAACAAGACCGGTGGAGCTCTGCCTGCGCACCCGCTGAGCCTCGGACTCTGCAGCCAAGGTCTTGCTGCGGGTACAGCTGCTGCTGGGTGTCCCGTGGTTTAAAAAGCTGTGGAGGTTCTGAGCGAGTCTGCCTCCCAGCCCCCTTTCTCCTGGATACCGCTATCCTCTGTTGTCTCCTGTGGTTGCTATGCTTCCTTGCTGCGTGCGTAGCCAATACCAAGCTCTTGCAGAAGAGGGCCTCTGGTTTTACACGTGGCAGCTACCGCAGATAAAAACAGACCACACAGAGGGAGGGAAGCAGCAGGGCGGTTTGGGGGCAAAAAACAACAAATTCGAAAAAAGACCTCCTCACAGTACGAGAGCCGTACCTAGGAGGATAGTGTTACATGTCCTAGTGCCTCCGTGCACATGCACGTGGCCGGGCCGTCCCGCCTGGCGCACAGGATGGAGGCGCGGCACGGGTGCTCCCAGCCGCAGCAGACCCCCTTCTCCCCTACCCCCCGCGGCCGCAGGAAGAAGGGACACACCGCACAGCAGAGGGCGCCCTGGGACCTGCTAAACCGGCCAAATCTCATAAAAATAAGGCAAAGCAGCACGTGGATGAGAGAACATTGTAACTCCAATCACGCTGAACAGTTGGCAAGTGCCTTCATCCTCAAGGTAAAGCTGCTCTCTGGTTCAGGAAGTAAGCAAAGGCTCTAATTCTGCTTGGAACCGGCCCATTAGCTGAGGCTATGTCTGGCCAGAACAAGTAAATAGGAGAAACAGAGCTGTCCAAACAATGACACCAGGGAACAACTACTTCCTAATCTAGGTCATCTAGGTCGTCTAGGTCCTGGGTGCTGGTCTAAACTGTTCAGTACATGGCCAGCTCCTGAGCTAGCAGAGTGGGTGCAGGCCCAGGAAGGACAGTCCGAACCTACGGGAACCCTCAGCTCACATCAAAATCCAGTTTCTGCTCAAATTCCAGCTTTCTTCCCTTTTCCTTCAATGCCCTTTGATGCCAAAAGCTGGGCCCCAGGCCGTCCAGATGGTTCAGTGTGAGAACCAGGTACCCTCTGGGCACCACCAGGATGCCCACAGCAACACCTAGGACCAGAGCAGCCATGGCTCTATTACAGACTGGCCCAGCATATATGGAGAAGTCAGAACTACAGTGAAAATTCTACTTCAGAACAACAGGACCAGGGGATATGAGTTAAAACCTTTGTAGGGAAGTGGTGGAAATTAACAGAGCAGGGTCTACAAAGTCTATTCCCACATCAGGTCAAAAGACAAAAAAAACCTGTATAAATGAAGGGCAAGAATCTCGGTTTGAACTAAGAATCCACCAAAAGGAACAGGAAAAATTGACTTTGTAATTGCTTTCCACAAAGCCAGTGGACAATCACCTCCACTGAGTTTTAAAGCTGCACTAAAATAAAAATTGCCTGGGGATTACAATATATCAGAAATCCATGTTTAAGAGTCAAAACTCAAAACTTGTAAAGCCACATCATAATCTTTAAAGAAATAAACTTTGAAATAAGGTGCAATGTAAATGTCTAACTACATGAGTATGACAGTGAGGATATAACAAAAACTCAGGTTTTCAGAGTATAATCACAATTCTGGGTACAATGATTTAGGACCCACTATTATGCTATTAACTACAAGGTTATTCCAAAATTCTTCAAGTAAGCCACACTTCTGTTTCATATACTCAAGTTCTCCCCCAAGGAGATATACTTTTGCATAACTATTTCAATCAAAAGTTCTTGCTTCATTGTCTTTGGCAATAATTCATTTCCTCAAGGATTAAAGATCTTGCCCCTAGCTGTGCAGCTCTGTCCCAGGAAACATGAACTATTGCTTCATTAGAACAACACTATTATTGCTTAATTTAAAACGCAGCCTT